GGACAGCGAGCAAGGAAGTGGTCTCGAACTGAGCGGAGGGTGTCAGGGAGACGGGTGACTATGAAGTGGAGTGTCCAGTACAGTGGAGGGGGGTTCTTAGCGCAGAACTCGGTGGGAAGGGCGGCACGCAGGCGAGCATCACTAGTGCGAAGGTGGGTGATAAGATCGGCGACTGTAGTAAAGGTGGACAGATCGGGGAACAGGTACGGCAGCATGAGGCGGCTAAGCTCGGCTGTGGCAGGCGAGGAGTAGCGAGCAACGACAGCATCGTACAGGGCCTTAGCGGATTTGCAGTCGCCAAAATGCTCGAGCTCAGCTAGCGGCAGGTGACTGCGAATGGCTAGGCGAGCAGCTGCGTCACGAGTCTGCCAGTGGGAACGAACACTAAGCTCGGCTGTGGCAGCAGGAGCAGCGGCAGCACCAGACGCGTAGTCATAGAGGGAGATGTGGTCCGTGCTATTGCTCATAAGATACAACTGCAGGTCGTCGAGCCAGGAAGTGAACTGCACGGGACGGCCCTCAGCATCGAAGGAAAGAACGCGAATAGAGGCCATAGCTCAGGCGTGAGGCATAGCAGAGCAGCGGCAGCAGCAGAGGGGACGCGCTAGAGCGAAGCTAGCAGCCACAGCAGGAGCAAGCGGCGGTGCACAGGCAGGGAGCAGCAGGCGAGAAGCGCGGCGGGCGGGCGGCGCTGCGAGCGGGCAGCGAAGCGGGCGGGCCGCGAAGCGGGCAGCGAGCGGGCGGGCGGGCTGCGAAGCGGGCAGCGGGGCGAGCGGGCTGCGAAGCGGGCGGGCCGCGAAGCGGGCAGCGAGCGGGCGGGCGGGCTGCGAAGTGGGCGGGCCGCGAAGCGGGCAGCGAGCGAGCGGGCTGCGAAGCGGGCGGGCCGCGAAGCGGGCAGCGAGCGGGCGGGCGGGCTGCGAAGCGGGCAGCGGGGCGAGCGGGCTGCGAAGCGGGCGGGCCGCGAAGCGGGCAGCGAGCGGGCGGGCGGGCTGCGAAGCGGGCGGGCCGCGAAGCGGGCAGCGAGCGGGCGGGCGGGCTGCGAAGTGGGCGGGCCGCGAAGCGGGCAGCGAGCGAGCGGGCTGCGAAGCGGGCGGGCCGCGAAGCGGGCAGCGAGCGGGCGGGCGGGCTGCGAAGCGGGCAGCGGGGCGAGCGGGCTGCGAAGCGGGCGGGCCGCGAAGCGGGCAGCGAGCGGGCGGGCTGCGAAGCGGGCAGCGGGACGAGCGGGCTGCGAGCGGGCGGCTCGGCGGGCGGGCGACACTGCGAGGGGCGCGCGAGGGCGCTAGTGAGGGGCGCGCGAGGGCGCTAGCAAGGGGCGCGCGAGGGCGCTAACGAGGGGCGCACGAGGGCGCTAACGAGGGTGCGCGCGAGGGCGCTAACGAGGGGCGCGCGAGGGCGCTAACGAGGGCGCACGAGGGCGCTACGAGGCTAGGGCACGGGGTAGCGTGGTAACCGCATGCGAGCGGTGGTGGGCCCTTAAAAAAAAAACGGTCGGTAGGTCCTAGGGACCTCCTGCTCTGAATACCATCTCAAGATAACTAGGCAAGAATGAATGAACTAGCAGGAGTTTGGGTACAAATATGAAACCCTAGTTGGGGTTGTACCCCATATTGGCTACCCCACTACAGCCTACAAGCATAATACAGTTTAACAATTCGTTGTCCCACCAAAGAGTCGCGACGCGGCAGTGGCGAGTCCCTTGTGTCGGATTAGGGGTGCGGATTGGCCTGGGTGTTTTTTGGACACTTCTGTATACATTCCCGCAACATTTCGGAAGAGTACCCCGTTTTCGGATACTCGGGCCCGAAACCTTTTCCGCGATGTGGTGCCATATCGTGTCCTCAAGTCGTATTGCAGCCTGATGAAAATGGAGAACAACGTCGACCGCGCCGGCGCGCCACGATGGAATACACAGCCGCGACAATACAGTACCAGACGAAAATACTAAAGCGCCGTACGTATCTCTTGTTCTACCAGACGGGCAGGCTAGGTTGAGCTGGCTGCTGCCTATACTGTATTTGTCAAGCATAGGCGATCGGTGGTCCATTCGGCCATGATAGTCATGACCGTCTCTCCGAAGCCGAGTTATGGGAACTTTCCGCTGAAGGAAACGCCAAGGATTTCTTACCAGTTTTCTGTTTTGCTGCTGCTACAGTTCTGTACTGTACAGACCGCTGCTGCTGCTGCTGCTGTTGCTGCTGCTGCTCGTGGTGGTGGGGAAACCGTTGCACGTTGGGGGAGGGTGAGGTGGTGTACGGTGCAGTTGGGTGGTCTGAGAAGGAAGGAACGGGGCTTTGGGCCAGTTTCGCCGCGGCACACGCGTGGCGCCTAACAGCTCAAAAGGCTTGCACGCGTGTACAGTCGGTGCTCATTTCAAGAACACCAGGTAGGCGGGCGGCATGTGAGTGAAACGAGTTTTGTGGATTTCGCCACATTTGCCTTTGTCGCCACGGGCAAAATTGTGATTGTAAAATGAAATTGGAATGTGAAACGAGTCTAGGGGTTTAAGTTCGTAACCAGGTAAACAATTCTGATGACAGGCAGCCGTTGTTGTTTATGAACTGTAGATGTTTTCTTCCGCGACTTGGTGACTGTACCCCGAAATCAGCACAATCACCACTCACAGGCAAAACGTTCGCGAGTGACTGATTTTCTAAGGACGCGTCAACTCCCAGCAATGTATCAGGATCGAGGCAAGATCGGCAGTGCACACCGATCTTGGCAGGATCGATGTGCACACCGGTGTGCTCCACCTGCAAATCGGCAATGTACCCCTACCATCGAGCCACACTTGACTAGGGTATGCAGGATCGGGGTGCTGCTGGGTTGGCCTGCCGCATGCTGCAAATCCGCCTTCGCAGGGTGTCGCAAAGTGTGTTTCCCAACAGTGGCTGTGCGACTTGACTTGGGCTGACCACAGCGGCTTGAACACAACCACCTTCCCGCTGTTGCACAGGGTGGCAGGTTTTGTCGTCGCTGCGACAGTAGCATGTGTCGTTCGGAACCATGTGCGACGCCGATCGATCATGGCTGTCAACTATCGCGCGATGGTAGCTCCCGCTCACCGAGAAGCCACGATCGGTGTGTGGCAGGTGGCAAGGTGTCCCTAGATCCGAAGGGGACATCGGGAATGTTGGCCGGTTTACTGTGCAATGGCGAAATCTGACGAAAACTGGCAACAAGACATTTCGCTAGCTCGTGAATGTACTGTATACATGGCACATCGATCCTACGGAGGATCGATGTGCCCAAAGTGCTGGGAGTTGACGCGTCCTAGTTGTGCAAGCAAATTTTTGTGATAGGCTGAGCATCGACTGTACCAGAAGAGCTTCATCCTGATTGGAGGGGGCCCCCTACATTCGACTTGTTCGATATTGCCAAACCTAAACTCTGTCAGAACCACTTTTCACTACACCTAGCAATCGGCACCGCTAATGCAAAACAAACATAGCTCTTATCTGGTTAGCGATTTCTTCGTTATTAGCGGGTTCTTTTGGCATCCTCCACTACCTCTTACCTTTCCGCCGTCTGCTGATCTAACTATTTGCCGACAAGATATTTCCGCCAGTTTTCGAGCCGATCTTGCTCGCAGTTGCAATCATTTTCGACGCACCCGCGTTTCAGGACACCTCAAAACTCGTTAGAGACTCTCTATCCCATTTACCCTCTTCACGCCACCTCCTGTCATTTGTGCGATGTCCGCCGCTAGACCTGACGGTGGCCGGCCAGGGGCGGACGGCGATGTTGCCAATGATACTTGCTGCGCGCGGTTAGAATTAACGGCCGACAGCGAGTCGAGCCGGCTATACGTGCTGTCGCGGTGGGGAGAGGCGCGCTGCGAGCTGACAGTCAGCGACGGGCGCTCCGCTTGGACGGGCTTAGGTCAGTCAATCCGTCAGTCCGTCGGTCAGTCCGTCAGTCGGTCGGTCGGTCGGTCGGTCTGTCTCAGTCACGCCTTCCGTCAGTCAGTCAGTCAGTCAGTCAGTCAGTCAGTCAGTCAGTCAGTCAGTCAGTCGGTCGGTCGGTCGGTCGGTCGGTCGGTCGGTCGGTCGGTCGGTCGGTCGGTCGGTCGGTCGGTCGGTCGGTCGGTCGGTCGGTCGGTCGGTCGGTCGGTCGGTCGGTCGGTCGGTCGGTCGGTCGGTCGGTCGGTCGGTCGGTCGGTCGGTCGGTCGGTCGGTCGGTCGGTCGGTCGGTCGGTCGGTCGGTCGGTCGGTCGGTCGGTCGGTCGGTCGGTCGGTCGGTCGGTCGGTCGGTCGGTCGGTCGGTCGGTCGGTCGGTCGGTCGGTCGGTCGGTCGGTCGGTCGGTCGGTCGGTCGGTCAGTCAGTCAGTCAGTCAGTCAGTCAGTCAGTCAGTCAGACAGCAGCCAGTCAGTCAGCCAGTGACGACCACTCTGCTTGAATGTGCTGTTGTGAGTGCGTGAGCGAGTGAGTGAGTGCGTGAGTGAGTGAGTGAGTGAGTGAGTGAGTGAGTGAGTGAGTGAGTGAGTGAGTGCGTGCGTGAGTGAGTGAGTGCGTGAGTGAGTGAGTGAGTGCGTGCGTGAGTGAGTGAGTGCATGCGTGAGTGAGTACGTGAGTGAGTGATTGAGTGAGTGCGTGCGTGAGTGAGTGAGTGCGTGCGTGAGTCAGTGAGTGCATGAGTGAGCGAGCAAGTGAGTGAGTGAGTGAGTGAGTGCGTGCGTGAGTGAGTGAGTGAGTGGGTGAGTGAGTGAGTGAGTGAGTCAGCCAATCACCAGTTACCGCTTGTGGTGCTGACAGCGGGGTAGAGTAATGGACTGCTGCCTGCCTTCTCTGCTCCATCTCCTAAGTTCTAACTAAAGCTGACTGCCGTGTGCCATTGTAACGCAGGTGGCCGTTGGGTCGACTCAAATCTCACCTTCAGAGTGGGCTGTTTCATGTGCTTCTCCCCTCCATCTGTGCTTCCCCACTTTCCCCTCCTTTCTCCCCTCTCTCTCCCCCCTTGCCTTCTCGCTTCTTCCAAACTCTAAGCAGTGGAGGAGGAGGAGATGTGGGACAAGGCCGAGGCATGGGGGTTCCAGTCGCCAGGTGAATACAACAGAGACGTGCTCCGAGCGGCTTTGGCTCAGGTGAATCCAACAGACGGTGCTAGTGGCAGCTGTTTCCGTTACCATCTTTTCCCGCCGAAGCACCATCTCACCCTCCTTCCAGACCATCCATCGATGCCCCTCTGTCCCACCACCTGGAATTAATTTAAAGTTTTGAGGCGCTGCAAAACTTTTGACACAACTTTCGAACGACTTTTGAGGTGATTCAAAAGTCCTCCTTCCAGGCCATCCATCAACCCCCCTCTATCCCACCACCTGGGAATAGTTTTACTAAACCCTGAACCGTTCTTTCCTTCAACCCCCTCTCTTATCCCCTCGTTTGCCTTCGCTTCAGATTCCCTCGTTCCTTTTCCTTACCTCCTCTCTCCTCCTCTCCTCGCCTCTCCTCTCTCCTCCTCTCTTACTTGCCTCTCCTTTCCTCTCCTCTCCTCTCCTCTCCTCTCCTCTCCTCTCCTCTCCTCTGCTCTGCTCTGCTCTGCTCTCCTCTCCTCTCCTCTCCTCCCATCCTCGTCCTACCAGCCGTCCACATCTCTCCGCTTCACGTGGGGCCGGCGCAGCAAGCGAGCCCGAGACACTCAAGAGCAGCCTTCCACGTGGCAGGTGGGCATTGGACGTCTGATGGACTGAGGAACAGTACCTGATTGGATGGCTATTTGTTGGCTGTAGGCTGTAGCTGACTCAATTGGATGGCTGGAGGTGAGGGCGAGTGGGGAGGGCGAGTGTGGAGGTGAGAGCGAGTGTGGGCGAGTGAGGGCGAGTGAGGGCGAGGGGGTTGGCTGTGGTGGGGGCAGTGGCAGTGGTGGGGGCAGTGGCAGTGGCAGTGGCAGTGGCAGTGGCAGTGGCAGTGGCAGTGGCGACCTAATAACCAAAAGAGAAGCCGTCTCGAGTCGACTCAGATCAGCTCTCACCAGTGGGCTGGAGATGAGAGCAGTGCAGCGCAGCGCAGGGCTGGAGACGAGGGCGAGTGTGGAGCTCAGAGGGGGTTGGAGGGCGAGGAGCACAGATCACAGATCGCCCAGCACAGATCGCCCAGCACAGATCGCCCAGCACAGATCGCCAGATCCCCCCTCCCTCCCTCACCCCTTCTCAGCTCTCATGGCCAGTGCAGCGGGAAGGCCTGGAGATGCGGGCAGGTGTGCAGCTGAGAGCAGTGGAGGGGGAGGAGCAGCAGCGAGCAGCGGTGGGACGGATACTGGATGTAGCCATGCGCGGGGCTGCTGCAGCCCAGGTGGGGTGGGTGTGGGTGTGGGTGTGGGTGTGGGTGTGGGTGTGGGTGTGGGTGTGGGTGTGGGTGTGGGTGTGGGTGTGGAGGTGATGAAGTGGCGAGGAGCAGCAGGGAGCAGCGGTGGGACGGATACTCGATGAGGCTATGAGTGGGGCGGCTGTTGCACGGGTGGGCTGTGGGTGTGCGTGGTGGGGCATGGCATTTCGTGGCGTGGCATTGCATGGCATGGCATGGCAGGATCAGCGAGCAGCGGTGGGCGCACCTTCAATGAAGGCATGAGCAGGGTTGCTGCTGCACAGGTGAGTCGGTGAGGATGCCGCCGCTGCCGCCGCCGCCGCTGCTGCTGCTGCCGTTGCCGCCGATGCTGCTGCCGCCGCTGCTGCTGCTGCCGCCGCTGCTGCTGCTGCTGCCGCTGCTGCTGCTGCTGCCGCTGCTGCTGCTGCTGCCGCCGCCGCTGCTGCTGCTGCCGCTGCTGCTGCTGCCGCCGCTGCTGCTGCTGCCGCCGCTGCTGCTGCTGCTGCTGGTGAGCCCTTGACATTCATGCATGTCATTGTCATAGCATGGCAGTCCCTGCGAGGGGCAGCAGTGCACAAGGGAAGGGAGGCATGTGGGAGGCTGCACTTGAGCTTCTGTATCCAATTCGTCCCCCCTGCCTTTTCCCCACCCCCTGCTCACCCCCTTCCCCACCCCCCGCTCACCCTCTTCCCCACCCCCCGCTCACACCCTTCCCCACCCCCCGCTCACCCTCTTCCCCACCCCCGCTCACCCCCTTCCCCTTTTTCCTCCCTTTCTCGTTCACAGGCGGAGCAGCAGTGCAGCAGGGAGGCGTGTGGGAGGATGCAGAGGGAGGCAGAGCGGTGCTTGCAGCAGAGTGAGCGGTTCAGAGAGGAGAAAAGCCGCCTGGAGGACGAGCTATTGGGAAAGGTGTGTGTGCTGTGCAGTAGGGTGTGCTTGTAACGGTGTGCTTGTAACGGTTTGCTTAACGGTGTAGCTTTGTATGAAGTGGTGGGTTGCTGTTGGCAGTGCATCAAGGATGAGGAGGAGGCGACTTACAGGAGAGCGGGATGTTGCAGGGTTTCTTTTAAAGTCTCTCAAAAAAACCATGCAACTTCAGGGGAGTGAGGGGTGGCTATACTGTGTAGTGCATTACGCTCCTCCTCCCTCCCCATCCCGCTCTGGATGGGGAGGAGGCGCGGCGCCTTACGGTAAGGAGAGCCACAAAAGACACAAACTACTTTCTAAGTGTCAATCCCTAAGAAGTTGCTGCCACGTACTGAAACCATGGCACCTACATGGTGTTCTATTGGATGGGGAGGAGGCGCGGCGCCTTACGGTAGTCTCTCAATCTAAGAAAACGGGTAGAAAGCTGCAAGCTCGGTTCGACCGACCTAACTAATCTGGGTAGTAAAAATCACTGAGTACTAGGCGAGACACGTCTAGGTAAACGTAGTAGTATTAAAGGCAGATTACAAGCAATTCAGAAATCGTACTGAAACCATGGCACCTACATGGTGTTCTATTGGATGGGGAGGAAGCGCGGCGCCTTACGGTAGGGTTTCTTACGGTAGGGGAGCGGGATGTTGCAGGGTTTCTTTTGGAGTGAGGGGTGGCTATAAAACTGCATGTCTGTACCCCTGCTGAATCAATACAACGGACCGTTTGGGGGTGGCTACACTCTGTAGTGCATTATGGATGGGGAGGAGGTGCTTTGCTGAGGGTAGCTCAGGTGACTGTTGAGTCGACTCAAAAGTGAGGGGTGGCTATACTCTGTAGTGCATTATGGATGGGGAGGAGGTGCTTTGCAGAAGGTAGCTCAGGTGGGGGGCAAGGAGGTAAAGGAGCCTTGGGACGTCTCATATCTCTTTGCACCCCTCTGCAGTTCCTGTTACTCCTCAACGCCAAGAAGGCAAGAATTCGAGAGCTCGAGGCTTCTCTACAGGCGGGCACAAGTGGGGGGGCAGGAGGTGGAGGCAGCAAGGGAGCGGGCGGAGGAGCAAAGGCGGGGAGGGGTGGTGCAGGGCGAGTGGGAAAGGGGCGATGATGACATGGGAAGCCGGAGACAGCAGAGGCATCAAACCAGATGGGAGCACAGGTGAGGGGCAAGGAGGTGGAGGAGGCAAGGGAGCGGGAGGAGGAGCAAAGGTGGGGAGGGGCGGTGCAGGGCGAGTGGGAAAGGGGCGATGATGACATGGGAAGCCGGAGACAGCAGAGGCATCAACCCAGATGGGAGCACAGGAGGTGGGCAAGGAGGTGGAGGAGGCAAGGGAGCGGGCGGAGGAGCAAAGTCGGGGAGGGGCGGTGCAGCGCGAGTGGGGAAGGGGCAGTGACAGCAGGAGGCAGCAGAGGGAAGGAAGGAGGAGGAAGAAGGGAAGCGGAGGGGAGGAAGGAGGAGGAGACGGAGGTGCAGGCGGAACATGACGAGGGGGCAAGGGGCGATGGTAGTATGGGAAGTCTAGTTTTGAGGCGCCTCAAAACATGGCGAGGGGGCAAGGTGCGATGGTACGGTAGTATGGGAAACGGCAGAGGCATTGAGCGAGACTGGAGCCCAAAAGACACCTTGTGAGGCGCCTCCAACGACAGGGCTATTGTCTGGAATGGGCCTGGAGTTCATCCTCTAGTGTGTGATTCGTTACAGAGCTATTGGTGGTGTGATAGTGTACCGATGTGGCTGCCTATGGCTGCCTGTGGCTGCCTGTGGCTGCCTGTGACTGCCTGTGACTGCCTGTGGCTGCCTGTGAGTGCCTGTGAGTGCCTGTGAGTGCCTGTGAGTGCCTGTGGCTGCCTGTGACTGCCTGTGAGCGCCTGTGACTGCCTCTGAGCGCCTGTGAGCGCCTGTACAGGTGGTTGTAATCATGCGGCACTAGTCCCCGTGGGAGTACCGTACATGCACACACGCACCTCACCTCACCTCACCTCTCCTCACCTCACCTCACCTCACCTCACCTCACCTCACCTCCGAGCCTTAATGAAATTCCAAATACACCGCAGTACCTGGTTGTGACGACAGTATTGTGCTGTCGACAAGCTAAACTGGGGGCATTCACAAGCACTTCTCCACAGAGCGTCACGGCACAGAGCATTTTACGGTACTACGGTCCTACGAGTGCAGTAACCCAGCTTGGTTGAACAATGAACCGTTTCAGAGCTACAGGATTTACAGTACCCTAAACCCCCAAACCCCATACCACATGGTGGTACCCACGGGGTTTTCAAGTTCCTTGTGTGTACTCTCCCTTTCCAGTCCATCTTGTTTGAAATGCTCAAGATTGCACCTCAAAAACAGCACCATGCAGTGGCCCAGCTTCATGCTAGAAAGGCATGATGCCTGCGTTGCGGAAGCTAGATTGTAGAAAAACAAGGCTTGCAGACTTGCACTGAAAAGGTTGGAAGCATAATAAGAGGAATGGAATTGATTGATTGCTTGGAATGACAGAGCAGGATATATATGCCAGCAGCTCACCCTCTGAGAGTGCCCTGTCCACACCAATAATCCTACACCAATAATTCTACCCGCCAATAATTCTTACCCTCCAATAATTCTAGACTCCAATAATTCTGGCCCTCCAATAATTGTACAATTATTGGAGGGTTGGGAGTCTTATAAAGGAACACTACAGTAAAATCTAACAGCACTTGTAACATCTTATGTTGGTGTATTTAACACTCCCCCTTGCTGTAGGTTTTACTGAGTTTTGTCTTGGAGGATACCTGTAACTGGCGTTGATTGCGGCAGGATTGATTGAGTGGAGTTGATTGCAGAAGGAATTTTAGTTCCGGCGGTGATTGCGGTGGTTTGATTGATGTTGATGGTTTGCTGGTCAGAAACTGTATTGGTGGGAAATCGCGATGGTCGGAAAGCTCTGTAGCAGTTGTGACGACGCGCAGGTGCACGTTCCTCCCGTTGGAGACCTGGCTTGTTTTGTCGCGACACAAGTTCCTCCCAGGGTTTCTGATCCTCGTTCCCGTTTTTCGAACTCCGGTGCACTGTACGCTTCCCTGTCAAGCTCTCCTTTGAGTTTGTCGCTTTTCACAGCTCCTGTTTCTCCTACACCTTCTCCAGCAGGGGTCTGACTGTCACGTCATTCTTGATTCCCAGTATTTTGTTTCATGCAGGACCTCCAGATCGATGGCTGTTGCTCAGCCTGCTATTTTCACAGTGTAATGACTGGTTAGGTCAGCGCGATTCCCAGCAGCACGGCGGATTGTCTCCCTTGGTCTTAGAATAGCTGCTGCTGGCGAACATCTTAAAGCGCACGGCTTCTTTCTGGTCGTGTGACCTATGGCGCGCTGCCTTTCCCCACCTTCCAGCGCTGACTCGACTTCCCCTGCTGTCGCGCTACTGCTGCTGTCGTCGCGACGATTTTCTGGTGTGCGTTGTGCTGCGCCATGGCGCGATGTCCTGTGGCTGTAGCTGGCCCGCATCACTAGCGCTCGCCATGTCACGGCTGGCGCTCGGTGACAGCAGCGCACGTGACGACCTGCAGCACCGGATGCGCGTTTTCTGCGGCTGCGGCCAGATCCGCGACTGCTGTTTTTGTCGTGTTACTGCTTCCCCTGTCGCGCGGCTGCAGTGACCTCCTCGCTTGACGACCTGCGCGCTGCAGCTCCTGGTTCGATGCCCGTGACGATCGGCAGCAGCGGCTGGCGCACGACTGCAGCAGCATGCGCGCTACTGCATCATGTCGCACGTGGCGGCTTCTGCTGGTGCGCGCCCTCCTCTTGCTATTTCGGACGACTCGCATGACGCCACTGCCCTCGTCGCGCGGCTGCCTTTCCTGCTGACACCCACGACCGCAGCGACGGCCGCACCTGTGGCGAGCTGCAGCACCTGTGGCGCACGGCAGCACTTGTGGCGCACGGCAGCACCTGTGGCGCACGGCAGCTCCTGTGGCGCACGGAAGCAGCTGATGACTGCAGCATCGTGCACCCACTGCCTAAGGCTGCAGTCGACAGCAGCAGAGCCCGACGGCCTGTAGCGACATGGCGGCAGCGGCTCCAGTATGTAAGTAATGTCTCCCCTGCTCCACTCTGCTCCATGTCTTCACCTGTCTTCTCCTTCCTGCTGAGGTGAGAGTGCTTAGTCACCCCTGACTGTTTCGTCCGTGTTACCCTGTTACTCTGTGATGTTACCTTGTGCTGCTCCCCTTGACCCTTTGCTGCTCCATGTTGCCCTGTGCTACTCCCTCTATACCAGGTGGTGTACGGGAGCAGCTGCAACTGGTACACAAGCACCTGGCGGCTGCCCCTGCACCTGGCGGCTGCCCCTGCACCTGGCGGCTGCCCCTGCACCTGGCGGCTGCCCCTGCACCTGGCGGCTGCGCCTGCACCTGGCGGCTGCTCCTGCACCTGGCGGCTGCTCCTGCACCTGGCGGCTGCTCCTGCACCTGGCGGCTGCTGCAGCAAATGTCTGCCGGTAGCACCACCGGAACGATGGCAGCAGCAACACCTAGTCTCCTGCAGCTGCTCCCCCTTACGCCCTGCAGCACTTGAAGCCCTAGGTGAGGACTCCCATCAGCGCCTGACTCCAGCTGTCTTTCCTTGTCTTTAGCAAGCCTTTGTCATCTTCTTGTGATTCCCTCTGCCCGTTTTCCTTTTGTCTTGGACAATGTTCTTAACTCATGCTTTCTTGATTCTTCTCCCCTTGAAACCAGCAGATGAGAAGTCCTGAGGAATGGCCGCTGCAGTTGGCGAGTGGTTGTGACCAACCAGCAGCAACGACTGTCCAGCAGAACATCTGATGGCTGCTTCTTGTTACTGATCGCAGTAGGTCTTGTTACACCCCAGAAAAGATGTTGTGGATGATGAAGAAGAAACCTTGATTTGTTGCACCCCAGGATACTCCACACCCCACTCCCCCTCACACTCGTGTGTTGGTAGGCATGCACATGCGTGAGTACGCACATATCACCAAACACACAAGGGAGATGTGTGGAGTTACGGGATGCCTTCGTGTCCAGCACCGCGTGAGAAGCCTGGACGATGAGGAGAGTGCAGCTCCAGCAGTTTCAATGTGAGTGCTGGGTGCAGACAGTGCGCCATGGGGAATCGGGTGGAGACCGCATAAGAGGCTACAGGTGAGATGTTGCTTTGCTGTGAGGGGCTTGGTGAGATAATCTGCAGCTTGCTGCGTTGTCGGGCAGTACTCCGGCCGCACAACTCCATCACGAATGGCTTTCCGCGTCCAATGGTAACGTACGTCCATGTGTTTGATGCGTTGACTCATCTGCTCCCCAGTGGCAAGTGCAATTGCGCTTTGGTTATCCACGAAAATGACGGTAGGTTCTTGCTGGCGAAAACCGAGGTCTTCACACAAGCGGCGAAGGTATGTAGCTTCTCGTGCCCCTTCAAACAGCGCAATGTATTCCGCTTCAGCAGTTGATGTTGCAATGACCGTCTGACGTTTAGTCCTCCCAAGGTAAACACGTAGCCTCCAACGGAGTGATGCCCTGCTTCGTTCGCGTAGTCCGAGTCCGTGTATCCGCGGAGCACTAAGTCCCCTCCTCCATAAACCAGCCCCATGTCTGCTGTGTTCTGTAAGTAGTTGAACACCCTGTGGATTCCAAGCACGGTTGTTGCCGTTGGTTTGCTTGCTTGGCTGGCCAGCACATGAGCTGCATAGGTTATGTCAGGCCTCCCTGCCGTTGAAATGTACAGCAATGTTCCAACTTGTTTCAGCACCAGTTGACCATCAATGTCGTCCGGTGGTTCACCTTGTGGTCCAGGTTCCTTGGTGATCGGCGTTCGAACCCCGGAACGGTTGCCCTCCATCCCGAAGGTCGCCAAAGCCTGTGAGATGTACTTTGTGAGTCCGAGCGAGATTGAGTCCTTGTCTGCGGCGGCGTTGAGCCCCAAAAACTGCGTCATGGTCATGCTGACCGTCAAGGTAAAGTTCTGCTTCAAGTGGTGAATCACAGCTTCAATTTAAGAGGATGAGTAGCCACACCGTGTCCTTTCCGTCTCTTTTCCAGACAAACAGAGATGGATCTGATTCGGATTGCACCATGTCCAGCTCCATTAAGACACCCCGTAAGTGCTGATGCCACAAGCGTGGTGCTTGTTTCAGCCCATATACACTTCTTTTGAGTTTCCAGACTTTGTCTCCGTCCCGCCTTGGTTCGGGTGGTCTCACGTATATGTCTCGGTCAATTGGAGCGTACAGGAATGCATTGGAGATGTCCAGCTGCACCACTTTCCGCTTTGTAGTAGATGCTCCAGCAATGAACACACGAGAGGTAGGTCCTTGGCTGACTGGTGCATACGTCCCATCGTATGTCCCCCAAGTCTGTCCGCACCCCTTGACCACCCAGCGCGCTTTGAACCGGTTTGGTTGTCCGAGCTCATCTCGTTTCACTCGCAAAACAACTCCTTCTGTCAGCACTGGTGTTCCTTTTGGTATGTCCGCTCTGTCCACCACTTCGTATGCGTCCAGCTCATCGAACTTGGCCAATTCGGCATCCACAGCGGCTTGCCAAAGAGGTGCGTACGAGTCCTTGGTCATTTCTTGAAGTGTTTTTGGCTCTTTGTACGTCAGCTCCACCATGGGGACGCCGGTTGCTGCACATTCCTGTACGTTCTGCTGCTGCAAGTTGGGAAACCGGGTGACTGTTTGTCCTGCCTGCTGCCTCCCAAACAGTACGTCCAGGCCTGTCATGGTGTCCGTCCCGTGTCCTTCTCCAAGTACTGTTACCGTTGGGTTGAAGTGAACCCGCCGTGGCGGCACGTCAGGAGCAACCAGCGGGATACCCTCGGGTGGGTAGGCAAAGTCGTAGAGATGACTTGCGTCATTTTCTGGTTCGTTGTTGTCAGCACCTTCACAAACAGAGATGCCTGCCGCTGGTAAGTCACTTGTCGTTGACTTTTCTCCTGTATCGGCTTCACGAGCTGCTGGGGAGTCTTTTTGAGCTCCGTCATCTGCCTTAGGTCCATGTTGTTCTGCTGTAGCGGCGTCAGAAGATGATGGGGAGGAAGTGTGGGATACGGGAAAAGAGTCGAATGCTGACCCAACGCCGTCTCCCCCGGAAGTCCACTCCGAGATATGAGGTGAGACTTCATCCAGGTACCGTTGACGTTCGAGCAGAGATTCGGCGTCCGGGAGCATGAGGTCGTCAAAGAAACGAGCTGAGCGCGTGTCCGTGTCAACGTCGCTTGCCAAGTCCCGCACGATCCATGCTTTTCGTGAGTTAGAGAGGCCAAGAAACATGCCTGCCCGTCCTCGTTGCTCTAATTTCCCGAAGCTGCCTTGGGGAGGGAGATAGTAGCAGAGGCATCCGAAGGTCCTGGCCATGGAGACATCTGCCGCTTTCCCCGTCATCATGAAGTATGGTGAGTGTGCGGATGGGTTGCTGCTGCAGCTGATGCGGTTGTGTAACCATGCCGCATATTCCAGCGCATAAGGCCAGAACTTAGAGGAAAGGCTGGCCCCGGTAGTCATCGCACGCACTCGGTCCATGAGCGTTCGGTTAACCCGCTCGGCGACTCCATTCTGCTGCGGCGTGTGTGGTAAAGACGTTTGGTGATTGATGCCTTGAGCACTCAGATAATCCGTGAATGCATTGGCTGTATACTCCCCTCTATTGTCCGTGCGCAAGGCAGCCAGCGGTTTCGTGGGCAGCTTGGTCTTCATTTCGCGATGCCAAGCCGAGAAAACAGCTGCCATGTCGGATCGGCGAGCCAACGGCGCCACCCACAGGTAGTTGGTGTAGTCGTCCTTGAGCGTCAGCACGTAGCGAAGTGAGGGGTGAGCGTCACCCAAGTCCATGATGTCGCTATGCACGAGCTCCAAAGGTCGAGTTGTGCGCTTGTCACCACCTGTAGGAAATGGGGCCTTACTCATCTTCCCTCGAAGACATGAGTCACACGGGGGTTTGAGGGGGTTTGTTTTGTCAGATATGGAGAGTCCTTCAACATCTCCATTGCGGAATGTTGCATCTATGGATGTGTATGATGGGTGACCCAAGCGCTTGTGGGCCATGCGATAGGTGATGGATGCATGAGCAGATTGCACATTCAGTCCTCCAAGATCAGTCTCATTCAATGCTTCATTCGGATGATCATGACCAGATGCATGGGCGGAGGTAAGTGCAGGCTCATATTGCACCATTAGCACCCCATGCATGATCATTCCAACTCCAATAAGCACATGTTCATTCCCATCCGCCACTGTGATCTCCGTGTGCCCATCCTCACGTGTGTGAATGCGAGCTCCCTTCTTGTACAGTTGGCAATAGGAGAGCAGGTTGGACTTCAAGCCAGGTACGTAGAGTACGTCCGTGTAGCGCACTGTTGTTCCATTGGGTGCCGTTGCTCGGATTGTTCCCGCCATCGAGCTCAACAGGTGGCTTCCGTCAGCAAGCTCCACGTAAACAGGTTCGTTCAGCTCTGCTAGACGCTCAAACCACTCCTTTTCTGAAGTCATGTGTTGGCTGCATCCACTGTCCAGCAACCACATCGACCCTCCGGTTGACGGTAATGTTGCTTGTGACGATCGAACCGTTGCAATGCATGTAACGGTTCCTTTGTTGTCTCCCCCAGCTGCTCCTTGCTGTTTTGACGCTTGGCTGTCACGTTTCGGGCTTTCACTCCTTCGAGGCGAAGACGAACGGCTACTCCAGTTGCGCTGGTTTGTCCTTCCTCTGTTTTGTGGTTCCCAACCTGGTGGTGACCAACCCGGAGGCGCCTTAGGACACTTGTAGAACGGGTGGCCAGGTTCCTTGCAGTACCAACACACAAGGTTTGAGCGCCCTCCTCTTCCTTCGTTGCCTTTGGATTTTTCCCCCACCGTCGCATGATGTCCTCCCGTTGCCGGATTTTGGTTCCCCTTTGTCTCGGTCCTCTCCTTTGCTGGTGAAACATCTCCGCGTGCTTGACCAGCCATGCGGGGAGGACATTTGTCACGGTTGGTCTTGCTAATGAGGTCTTGGTAGCGTTGTTCTTGAATCATCATTCGTTGCAGTGTGTAGCTGTCCGAGATGTCGTGTAGCATTGCCGAATGCCTTAGCTCCTCCCAATGCGGTGGTAGCCCGGTAATCAGGTTCAAGGTGAATGAATCCTCGTCCACCAGTTTTCCTGCCATCGCCAACTTGTCCCGAATTGCAGTTGCCCGGTTGATGTATTCCTCCACCCTTTCTTGGCTCCCCATCTTCAAGTTGTCCAACTGCCTCTGAAGAGACGCCTGGTAAGTCTCCATCAAATACTCCCATTCTTCGAATGCCGGACTATATGACTCTTGGAACACGTCCAGCTGTAGTTGAATCGTTGCGCTCACGCTGTGTAGAAGCACCCAAAACGCCAACGTAGCACGTTGTGAGTAATCTGCTTGCAGAGCTTCCAGCCGTTCCATTGCATCTCGCATTTCTCCATTCGCCATTGTCACCGGGTATTGTAGTGTCACGAAAAACTCCCACAGATTTGTCACGCGCGCGTTCATGCGAAATCGAAGAGCCCACTCTCGAAAGTTGGTGCCGTCAAACGGTGTTGTTGTGAACGCCTTGTCCACCGCTGCTCCCACCATCTTGCGTGACAGTCTGTCCTTGTCCTCTTCGGTGTACTCGCGAGGTGACGGGTCGAAGAGCGTAGGCACGGTAGATGGTCGAGGTAGTTGCACCGTGCGTCGTGTGCCTTCACGTTCCACCACCTCCACTTGGTCACGTCTCATAACTCCACTTGATTGCATCCCGTGCCCCATGCGTCCGATGCTTCCTGCAGGTACAGCTTCCGGTTGAGACCATTGCGCACGAGGAGGTACGATGTTGCCATAGAGGTGAGATCTGCCCATTATGGGAACTCCAATGGGATGGGAGTTAGTGGCAAGTCGGCGTAGTGGGGGAGCACCAATAGTGTAGGATTCGAATCCCACACCCTCCATGCCCACATGACTGCTTCTACTTCACCGCTCCCTTCACCAATCTGACCTCTCATGTTTCTTCCCACATCAATCCCATCACCATGTTCTCTCACATCCCCTCCACCCCCGTACTCATCATCCCGCCCCGTTGCTTCCCTTTGCATGGTTGATTGAGGTTCGGGGTGGGAGCTCCCCTCTCCTTGGAAAGATGCATCCCTCCCTTGGGATGACTCTCCTCCTTGAGGTAGGCTTCCTTCCCCTTCACCTTCAATTCCTGCATCCACATTTGAAGCGCGGGTTTGGTTAGGACGCGGAGTGCTTTCATGTGACTGTCCACGGATGGATGGGTCGTTGGAATCTCGAAGTTGGGTTGTCATGTTGAATCTTGCTCTCAAGGATGCTTGGAGTGTCGGTGGTGCCCTTGCGATCATGTTTTCCAGGTGCTCATGTTGAGCCAAGATTGCTTCTTCGAACGCATCGTATCCAGCATCAACTTCCTCGTCGAACCGCGCCATGACTTCACACCAAATGTTGCCACTTGCTGTGCAGGGTTGCTAATCTGCTTAATCAATGTAGATAATAAGAAATCTGACGAAATTTCGGCAGCATGCCCCCTAGAGTAGCTCTGATACCATGCTAGAAAGGCATGATGCCTGCGTTGCGGAAGCTAGATTGTAGAAAAACAAGGCTTGCAGACTTGCACTGAAAAGGTTGGAAGCATAATAAGAGGAATGGAATTGATTGATTGCTTGGAATGACAGAGCAGGATATATATGCCAGCAGCTCACCCTCTGAGAGTGCCCTGTCCACACCAATAATCCTACACCAATAATTCTACCCGCCAATAATTCTTACCCTCCAATAATTCTAGACTCCAATAATTCTGGCCCTCCAATAATTGTACAATTATTGGAGGGGAGGGAGTCTTATCAAGGAACACTACAGTAAAATCTAACAGCACTTGTAACATCTTATGTTGGTGTATTTAACACTTCAAGCCATCATTCCCCACAATGCACATCATGGTACCGTACTGTACTACAGTAAATGTTACCATATACGATACGGTATTTCAACCCCACCACCACCATCCATATGGTGGCTTATTCTCCAACATATGTCTGGCAGTACCCCTCATATCGCTACCAGGACTACACTACCTCTAGAGTCAAGATGTTACGCACAGCAGTTCATTCTCCCGAAGGTAGGTATTTACCTACTGTACCGTACGCAGTTGAAATATTGTAGAATAAAATAATCCTTGTGTGGTGCCTCAGCACAGCACTGCACTCGGTTTACTACGACCTGCCTCTGCCGTGTGGTGTGGTGCTCCCAGATGCTGCTGATACAGTACCGGTGAGACCTGTACATGCGCGCCTCAGCTGTTGACGCGGATGCTGAATGCAGCATGCATTCATTCCATCCATCCAGAAGACAACCCCCCAGCAGCAGGGGAGACTGGGAGACTACTTTCGGGGCGCCTCAAAAGGGTGATGTGGAGCAGATGAGTCGAAGCATCTTATGGTAAGTGACCAAAACAGATTGCAGCTGGTATCGCTCCTGAGAATTCTCAGTAGTGACTTCAACGCCACGTTGAGTCGACTCCAGATGAGCCAAAACACGTGCAGATGAGTTGAGGCATCCCATGAGTGGTCTTATTAACTTCCAACAGCCTTCTCTCCCTCAGCAGCAGCAGTAGCGGCAGCAGCAGCAGCAGCAGCAGCTGCCGCCGCTTCTCCTAGATCCAGAGGAGCCTTGTTCCGCTTCTTACTGCGTTGAGGCGCCTCATAACAAGTGATATAAATAGGTCCCAACAGCCCAGCAGCCAAGTGTGGTCTACTTCTCCCCCAGCAGCAGCATCAGCCGCTGCTTCTCCCCCATCAGGGCTCGTTGCGCTGCTTCTGAGCCGCCACCTGCTGGCTTGCCTCGGCCAGTTCTTCCCTCATTGCCTTGCACAGCGCTGTAAGCTCACGCGTCTGGTGTGATTGTGGTAACATTGGGAGCGGGGCGAGAGAGAGGGGGGAAGAGAGAAATAGGGTGAGGATGGCCCCACTTAGTGACCTGCAGAGAGCTGGCAGCTAGTGTGTCTGGTGGTTGTCGTAACATTGGCGGATTAAAAAACGAAAAAGGGGTGTTTAGAAAAAAAGCCTCAAGGGGGTGCCGTATCCTACATTCCAGCCACAGTGGTTGCTGCTGCTGTCTGATGCATGTGACTCAAAAGGGTATTTAGACAGATAACTCTAGTTCGTGTCATACCTCGCACTCTAGTTTCTGCAGATGCTCCTGCTGCCTGATGCGAATGCGCTTGGCTGATGCTCTGTTGGCCGCCAGCCTGCACGGCATGAGAGCGAGCATGGGATGGGATGGCGGCGACAGTGGGACAGCATGAGAGCGAGCATGGGATGGGATGGGATGGGGGCGGCAGTGGGACAGCATGAGTGTGAGCATGGGAACATGGGAACATGCAAATGCGCGTGGCTGATGCTCTGCCGGCCGCCTGCCTGCACCCCGTGTCAACGAGCAGGGGATGTGGCTGTTGAAACACCATGTACGAGCCATTTTAGCTGTGCTGCTGTGCTGCTGTGCTCTTGGAGAAAGCAGGCCGTGCGGAGGAGCACAGCAGCTGGATTGGGAGCAGGACTCACCTTCTGGATTTCTGCATGGCAGCAGCAGCTGCCACCGCTCCTCCACTCCCCGTCTTCGAGTACCCGTATCCCTGAGTCGCTCTGCTGCTCGCGTCCACGTCAGCAGCCACATCAGCATCCACATCAGCGTCCAGCTCAGCATCCTCCTCTTTCTTGACAGTAAAAACATTCTGAGCAGCGCCAGTGTCTCTTCCCCTGGCAGCAGCAGTCGCTTCAAACGGCCGCTGCTCCTCTGAGTCGGTTCCACAGGAGGGATACACCATGGTGTCGTGTCGAGGGGGTGTGCTAGGCAGGCCGAAGGGTAGGAGGGTGGACTCGTAAGGGAAGCATGACCCTCTGCTGCACTCCCCCTTGTGCTCCCCCTTGTGCTCCCCCTTGTGCTCCCCCTTGTGCTCTCCCTTGCATTCTTCACTGCAGTCATCACTGCATGTGCTGCTGTTGCCGCAGGGAGGGGGGAGCACCAGAGCTGGTAACCCTGTTACCACACGGTGGCTGGGGAAGGTGGGCTCCATGGGAGTGGGGAGAAACACGGGTGCTGACGTGGCACAGGCAGCAGCAGCAGCAGCGCGTGTGCTTTCGGCACGGGCAGAGAGAGGAGCAGAGGCAAGGCAGGTGGAGGCAGGGGTAATGTGTGCATGGTTGAATGCAGCAGGTGGGTTTGAAGAAGGCTGGAGCACCAACGGCTCATGATTGAGCAATGCTGATGCGATAAAGCTGTCGTGTACCTTGTCGCGGCTGTTTTTCTCATCAATGCGGGTCAATAGTCCTTCAATCTGACCCTCCATGCCAATCCCTTCAAGAGAGGTTCCCCCTGTCGCCTTCTCTTCCATCCCCTCCATTTCAATCCCCTCCGTTTTAGTCCCCTCCACGTCAGTCCTCTCCATAACAAACAGCCCACGAACCAGCTCCAGGCCAAAATGGCCGTTCGCGCTATCCTCGTTATTAGCATCTCCATCCTCCGTGCTCGTTTCAGCTTCACATTGGCCACTTCCGTAGCCGCTCAGACGACTGGCGCTGACATCATCCGGCGTTTCGCAGGCGTCAGCACCTGCCGTCAGCTGGGCGTCATCCAGGTCGCAAAGAGAAACTAGGTTATTCCAGGACGGCTCTTTCCCTTTGAGTGTAGTCGGGTATTTGCAGGGGAAATCACCCTGCACTGGATCGACGGTTTCCTCGCCCTTCCGCCATGTTGCAGTTGCGGTTGCGGCTGATACATTATGAGGAGCGAAGAGCGCGGAAGTTGGAGCAGGCGTAGCGGAAGCTTTCGGCGTAGATCCAACTCTGGGATCAGGTTTTGGCGAAAGCGTGGGAGCTGGCGAAACTTGAGGTTGGTCTTGCAAAACCCGAGTTGACGAAACATTTGCGAGGGACAGCTGCATCGCCGAAATTGGAACTGAGGAAACTTGTGAAACTGGCAGAAGCTGACTATCCGAATTCTGATGTGGTAACGCCGCAACCGTCGCAGGGAAACCCGCATTTTCGTTAGCTGGAGGCAAAGCAGAAGTGATGACCGGGATATATTCTTCTGGCTCTGCTTCGCGAACTTTAGGGTTTGTCGAGTAATAGGTTCCCGTTCCCGTAGTAGAAGCACCACACATTTCCTCGTTTCCTTTCTTGTGATGCCACGCGCTTGCGTGGATAACTTCGGCACCCGCTTTAGAAGCTTGGATGCGCGGAGATGGCTCTTCGCCAGGGGTTCGCGATGACAAGGGATGCGAAATGTCTTTGCGAATAAAGTGATGGCCCGGGCGCGCAACGGTCACGAAACTAAGCGCAGAGCAAAGAGTAGTAGTCTGAACATTCCACGCTGAGTCCTTAACCGCCTCGAGATTCCGCTGCGGCGCCGCGGCATCGCCGATAGTCACGTGGCGCCCGTCCTGGAATGTCATCATATGCTGCGACGTCGCGTGCGGAAGTGATGACGTCGCGTGCGGCGGCAATGACGTCACAACGTGCTTTTTCCGCTTGATATTCTGAAGCAATCCAAAGATCGTCGTCGGACATTCCGTAGCGCGCCGCGTGTCCACCGCCGTAGTACCCCGCGACGTCGCCGACGGCGCGATTCTCTGAGCTGCCGCCGGCCATTCCGCCAAAGCCTTGTATCGAAGCAAACGGCCTTGGGACGCGGCGGCGGAAGCGGAAAGCGACGACTCAGACGACCTTGGGCTGTGAGCAACATTTCTCCTCATCCGTCCAAACTCCTCGAATGTTCTCTCCACAGCAGGGGGAGACGACTCTTCGAGCACGTAATGTCGCAGAAGTCTGTCGCAACTTCGTCGCTTCGACTCCAGCGACTCCAAATCCGTCGCGCCGTTCCGATTTGACCGACAAAGCGCCGCGCAGCGTTTCCCTAGAACGCTCGTCAGCGGCGGCTGAGCCTCCGCCGCGTGGACATGATTGTTTTTCGACGGCCCGCCGCCGTTACGGTTGTTAAGTCCATACTGAGCTGTAACCTGCAGCGTAGTAGTAATGCTACTCGGTGTAGACTGGTAGCAGTCACGCTTGCGCGGCTGAGAGCCATCCGGAGGATCGTCGGCCGACGCAGGGAAGGGGAAATGAGACGGTGGCGTGTTGCGCGCGCGCCCGCGATAGGCGCCGCACTCTGCGCTTGAGGGTGTCGTTGGTGGGTAGATGTCGCGGAGACAGATGTCCATGGCCGCGAATGTTATTATTTTTTCTTTTGGAAGACAATGCGCTGATTGAAAGATCGGTACTTGTTCTCTCGCCGGTGCTCTTAGCAGGAAGACCTTCTGGCTACTCAAGTGGGACCATGGAAGGGATTTTTGAGTCGACTAAAAAACCGGCGCTCTGAGCAAGAAGACTTCTGGCGACTCAAGTGGGACTGTGGAAGGGTGTTGCGATCGCGACTGATAGTTTCACAAAATCCTGTTATCATCTGAAAGGAATCGACTGTAAGTTGAACGAAGAACGTCTGTTCGAGGGAGGAGGGGAAGAAGGAAGCAATAGAGGACGCGGCGGGGCGTGTGCGACACGGAAACAAGAAACAAGGTTTGTCGTGTCGTGTCGTGCCATGTCGTATCATGTCGTCGTGTGTTGCTCAAGAAGCAGCCTGCCCGATGAAATGCCATTTCAGCGGAGAACAACGTCGACCGCGGGGCGCGCCCAAGATGGAATAATTTTTCACGAGATACAGCCGCTACAGTATCTCCTCCTGACAGACGGGCTAGACTGTTCCTCCTGTCGGACAGCCTAGGCTGAGCTGGTTGCTGCCAAGATTTATCAAGCACAGGCGATCGGTGGTCCATTACAGCCATGATAGTCGCACACCGTGCCTCCGTAGCGCAATTTCGAGGGAATTTTCCGGCGAAGGAAACGGCCATTTGTTGCTTGCCGGTTTCTTTTGCTGCCGAAGGCGCGGTGATTGTGCCAAGGAAAACGGTTGCGTGTGGGGGAGGGTGAGGTGGTCCTCAGTTTGTGAGGGAATGAACGAGCAGATCTGCTGGACTGGGTTGGCTTTGGGACGAATGGAAGGGAAGGGAGGGAGGGACCGAGAAACTAGCCGCAGCAAGCGCGTGGAGCGGAACAGTTCAAAGCTTCTCGGAGCAGCTTTGATCTGCCGAATGGAAGAGCAAAAACATGGAACGCAACGGTACAGTAGTCACGACTCACGCGATCACCGTGGCTTGGTGGTGGTTTGGCTTGAGTGGAGTGGACTTGCTGGTTTGCCTTGGCTCCGGTTGAACCGTGTGGGTACAGTACTTCTGGTTTGGGCGCCGTCTGACACCAGTTTGGGTGTTGCTGTGCTGTAAGGTTGCCCCATGTGGCCCTGACAGCACGTGCTGACAAAAGAAACACGCAATGGAATGAGTGAAGTTTGAAGCAGGATGCTGCTGGAGCAACCGTATGAACGTGCTCAGGGTTGGTCGTCGGTAAACTTTTAGGTTTTTGCGTAAACAGACCCTATTGTACAGTCCTTGCAGATAGGTTGGGCAGTGAACAAGGACCAGGTAATATATACCTCGAAACTGAGAAATTTTCCGAAATAAAAAAACATTGCCCTGTCGCCAGCTCGATCCCCATCATTTGTGGGTTTGCGTGGCGCACGTGCAAGGCTGACTTGGAGCAAAACCTCGCAGATTTCTAGCCACTGCGATGCCAGTGATGCGCTGACACGACATGTTACAAGGTAAAGGCAGGTCATGTTACGTGAATCTCCAACATGCTGGGCTTGAGGGTTCCTTCCTTCAAGCCCGAAACCATGTAAATGTAAGGGCGTGTCCGAAGTGAAGCGTCAATGGATGACGCTGGATGTCGGTAAATGTCAACCCTCGGATCAAAAGTTCCAACCGTCAGGATTGGCCGACATCGGATGACGCTGGATGTCACGTTCACTTCGGACCCGCTCTAATACAGTACACAGAAAATATGCGACTGTGATTCGAAACTCTAGCGCAGCGGATTTCCCTGTGTGAGAAAAATGGTTCGCATGGGGTTCATGGGAGTTTCAGCAAATTCGGGCAGCAAGCGCAACAATGCCAGGTCATTCAGAAAATATCTGTTCGGGTGGAGGTGAGGTGAGATGACGTGCCAATTTCACGTGCGGCGCTGGCACGCCGAAGTGTCTTTCGAAGGGCCAACATCATAGACATGCAAATCAGTCTGGTAACCCTATCCAATGGTATGCAAAACCGTCGATACCCCAGTTCTGCTGCGCAAAATTGTCTGGTAGCGCCACTCAAAACACTGTAACAGCTGACGCAGCACAGAAAAGGAAGAAAATATGTGATAGAATCAGTTGCGTTTTCGATTTCTTATCTTCGTGGTTCTTCCCGCGTCTTGTTCGGCGCCTAAAAAATATTCCTGCCGGCTACTATTTTCCGCTAAATGTGACGAAAAATCCACTGGAATGAAAGTCTACGGTGTCCATTTCGATAACATTAATTTGGACCAATATATTGCTACCGGGAAATGTAGGGGCAGGGCAGAAAAACAATAAAACCCCTAGCGACCTGGACGCATTTCTGGGAGGGATCAACCCTAAACACGGGAAAGGACATTGTTTTTAGGGTTGATGCCTCCCTGACGCATCCCTTTCCGATCGGGTTTTATTTTTTTCTTGGCCCGAAGAAATCACGTCTTAGCGCGAAGGCAAGCGCGGTAAAGATCAAATTTGAATTAAAAACGAACGCGCTATCAGGGCAGCATGTCAATAACTTGACAACAGAGGTAAGACGGTTTTGCATACCATTGGATAGGGTTACCACACTAATTTGCATGTCTATGATGTTGGCCCGTCTTTCGAATGGGCGCGCTCGACCGAAGTGGGCCTCGACATCCCTCGAAAGATGTCGGTAAATGTCAGCCCTCGGATCGACGGTTCCAACCGTCAAGATTTACCACCATTTGTCAAAGTTTAGTCGACAAATGTCGACATTCACTTTGAACGTCGGCCAGCACGGACAATTGCTCACGTCATGCAGGTTTTGCCAGTGATAGTGTGCAATTGTATGCAATTGACGGTTTCGGAGGAAAAATGTCGGCCAGCCGCGTGTTTAGGGTTGAGGCTCCCTAGTCACATGCCATCCATGTGGGGTTTTTTTTTTCTGACCGCGGGCAGATAACGTTCCGTCAGATTTCTTCCAGGGGATTAACGTTGCATACATTCGCAAACCGCCCTGGCATAATTTGCATGTCTATGATGTTGGCCCTCGGCCAGCACGAGCACATCATCAGAGCACGTGACGTGGGAATATTCTCCCCAACTCTTCACGCAGGGCAACATAACTGTTATAACTGCTGTTCATGTAGCTACTGCTCTAGTACACTTCAGTCACCAAATGGAAGTGGCTCATATAATTTTGTGTTACTACCAGAGTCATGCAGAACAAGAGTGCTATCACATTCAGACGAAATTTAGTGGTAACTCTAATATTGTTATCTGCTCTGACCTGCTAAGCCACCTCAGAACTCATCCTAACAAACTGAATCACAATCGAAACCGAATTACATACTATCCACCTTACCTGACCAACTCTCTCAGCCACTTCCTCATCCTCTCCCCCCCCCCATCCCAACCCACCCAACTAGCCATAAAAAAAGCCTTCACAATAATTACCCTATACTGAATAAAGCAGAGCTGGCAGTCATAATAAAGTCTGCCGCCCATTCTACAGTATGAACCCATCCACACCCAATCGCACAGCCGGAAAACCCCCCAGCCTCTCGGGTCCACAATCCCAAATCACCCTCTATGCAAAGACGCGGAGCTAGCCGTCATGATCAAATCTGCCGGCCGCGCTAGCAACCCCTGCATGGCCGTGGCGTCCTGTGTGACTGACTCCACGCCCCACTCTTCTCTCACCCACGCGCGTATCGTCCCCGACGAGTCGTCGTCGCAGCGCTTGGCGAGAGAGAGCACGGAGCGGCCGCTGTGAGGGATGATCATGCCTCCCTCCATGGGCTGAAAATCCCCCACTCGAGTGACCATCACCCTCTCCCAGTAGATCGTGCTGTTGCTCGCCGTCTGTGTGGGGGGGGACAGATAAAGGGGAAATAGAGTGGGGAAGGAGAAGGGGAAGGGGAAGTGGAAGGGTAACGGAAATGGGTTGGGCAACGCTTGGCAAGAGAGAGCACGGAGCGGCCGCTGTGGGGGATGATCATGCCTCCCTCCATGGGCTGAAAGTCCCCCACCCGCGTCACCATCACCCTCTCCCAGTAGATCGTGCTGTTGCTCGCCGTCTGTGTGGGGGGAGGAGTGAAGGGGGGGATGGTGAAGGGGAAGGGAAAGGGGTACAGGGGAGGGGGAGGGGGAGGGGGAGGGGGAGGGGGAGGGGGAGGGGGGGGGGGGGGGGAGGGGGAGGGGGAGGGGGAGGGGGAGGGGGAGGGGGAGGGGGAGGGGGAGGGGGAGGGAAATCGGAATGGGGAGGGGGAAGGGGAAGGGGAAGGGGAAGGGGAAGGGGAAGGGGAAGGGGAAGGGGAAGGGGAAGGGGGGGGGGGGCAGACGCGGTTGCATTGGGCGTTGTGGCCATGGAGGGACGTCACTCACGTCCTGACCCGAGTCACCTCACCAACACTCGCACACACACGCACATCGGTCTTGGTGAGATGATGATCGCGCAGTCCAATGAGCAGCCCGAGGCTTTACTGAAGGACCCCTCCACCTGGTACGCCAGCACGTCGCACACGTCCTGCTGCCCGCTGCCTTGCTCCCTCCCTTTCCTGTTCTCCCCATTGACCCTCCACACGCACCTTGGTCTTGGTCAAGTGGTGGTCGCGCAGGCCAATCAGCAGCCCTGACGCTTTACTGAAGAAGCCCTCCACCTGGTAGGCCAGCACGTCGCACACGTCCTGCTGCTTGCCTCCCACGTTGCCCCCGCCGGTGCTCATGGACATGAGGGCGAGCGGGTTGGCCATCACCTTCACACACATGCACTCGTCGCCCTCTATGGCCTCGTCGCCCTGATACTCGCCCGATGCGAACACATCTGCAACAGTGGGTGGGTCTAAGCCCTGGGGGGTGGAAGAAGGGAGGAGGGAGGAGGGGAGCAGGAGAGCAGGAGAGAGCAGGGAAGAGGAGAGGAGGGGAGATGAGGAGAGGAGGCGTGAGGGCTATGGTGGGTGGAGGGGCCACTGTTGCCCCCGCCCGTGCTCATGGACATGAGGGCGAGCGGGTTGGCCATCACCTTCACACACATGCACTCGTCGCCCTCTATGGCCTCGTCGCCCTGATACTCGCCCGACGCAAACACGTCTGCCACAGTAGGCGGGTCCAGGCCCTGGGGTGGGAGGGGAGGCGAGGAGTGGAGAGGAGTGGAAAGGGATTGATTTCCTTCCTACATGCACTCGTCGCCCTCTATGCCCTCATCGCCCTGATACTCGCCTGATGCGAATACATCCGCCACTGTGGGCGGGTCTAAGCCCTGTGGGGTGGATGGAGCGGTGGAGAGGAGTGAAGAGTATTAAAGAAGGGTGGGGAGGGTAGTCATTCTTCACGCACATGCACTCGTCGCCCTGATACTCGCCCGATGCAAAAATGTCTGCGACCGTAGGCAGATCCAAGCTCTGGGGTGGGAGGGAAGGAGTGGAGAGGAGTGGAAAGGGATTGACTTCCTTCCTCCAATCATTTGTCGCCCTCTATGCCCTCGCCGCCCTCTATGCCCTCGCCGCCCTTATACTCGCCCGACGCAAACACGTCCGCCACTGTGGGCGGGTGGGATTGAGGAAAGGGAAGATAGCAGGAGAACGGCCAAATGGGGAAAAGGATGGCAAAGGGGAAGGGGGAAAAGGAAAGGGTAATGGGAAGGAAGAGGGGAAGGAAACGGAGGAAAGAAAGGGGGGGACATGGGCGGGTGGGGAGGCGAGAGAGGTTAGGGATGCACGACACCCTTCCATGCCCTCTTGTCGCGGGGTCTTAAAACCTCAGGCAGGTTCTACTAAGAGATTTTCAAAACTACCCGCAAAAGGCAGGTGGAAAGGGGATTGTTGGAGATTTTCGGAATATACGTGCGACGCCCTTCCATGCTTTGGGATTGTTCCAAGGGTTTCCCGTGGCCTTGGGATCTTCCCAATGGGAATTGCCCGAGGAAACCACGCTCACCACGCCTCCCTCCCCTTAATGGGAGGGTTCTAGGCCCGTGCAATGCGACCATTCTGTGGGTCTCAGCAAAAGAGGGTCTCCACTCGTTGCCAGCACTGCCTTTCGCTCCTTTCCCTTCATTGCGTTATGGCCCAGGAGCAGTGACACAACACAGCACCTCCTACCCAGCAGCACCACTCGGAACCGCACTCACCGTCTCCCATCCTTGTCTCGGAACCACCTCACCTCGTACTGTATCCTCACAGCCAGCAACTGCACTCCCAGCGAGCCCTCAATCCCAGGAAGGGAAGGGACCTGCAATAAGTGGACTGGGGCCTCTCTCAACAGGGTCCAACGGTGGTCCCCTTCGCATGCAGTCGCCTCGCCACAGCAGCAGCTGTCGCAACCACTGCAGTGGTGCTTGACAGCAACTGCCCGTTGGCTGCTCGCCCAACCGTTATAAGTCGTCTAGAAAGACCGCTGCTGCCCATCCGCAACAGCTGCTCCCCGCAACAAGACTAGCGCTGGTCGCTCCTAGATCTCCCCATTCCACCCTACGAGTCCGCCTACGGCCAATCAGGCCCAATCGGAGCCACACTCAAGCCCACTCAACCACACTCAACCGCACTCACGACCGCTCTTCACCCGCGCTCAAACCCACACCCACCGCTAGCAAGTGCCTGAGTGGTCGCACAGGCCCCTTGTCCGGTAGACCGCGCCCAGTTGCTCCAAACCACTCAGAGAGCCACACTCAACCGCACTCAACCGCACTCAATCGCACTCAAGACCGCGCACCCTGCTAGCACATGCCTGAGTGGCCACACAGGCCCCTTTGTCGTCGTTGACGGCCCCCAACTGCTCCGCCGCCACACCAGCTCTGCCTGCTCACAGCGTCCCTTCCCCATCCCACTCTCCTAACCCACTCAACCGCACTCAACCACACCCACCGGTAGCAAACGCCTGGGTGGTCGTATTGGTCCTTTAGCCGTGGTGGGGGAAACCCAACTGCTCCGCTGCCACACCAGCTCGCTATCACACGGCCTTCCTTTCCCATCCCGCACTCAGAGACCCACTCAACCGCACAGAACCGCACTCAAGGCCATGCACACCGCTAAAAAATGCCTGAGTGGTCGCACAGGCCCCTTGGCCGTGGTGGAGGGCCCCCAGCTGCTCCGCCGCCACACCAGCTCTGTCTGTAGCCTGCTCACGGCCCTCCTTCCCGATTTCAACCTCCCAGACCACCAACGCTCACTGAACCGCACTCGATCGCACTCCTGACCACGCTCACCGCTAGCAAGTGCCTGAGTGGTCGCACGGGCCCCTTGGCCGTGGTCGAGGGCCCCCAGCTGCTCCGCCGCCACACCAGCTCGCCGTCACACGGCCTTCCTTCCCTAATTCACCCTACACGCCCACTCAAAGTCCACTGAACCGCACAGAACCGCACTCAAACCCTTGCTCACCGCTAGCAAATGCCTGAGTGGTCGCACAGGCCCCTTAGCCGTCGTCGACGGGAGCCAACAGCTCCGCCGCCACACCAGCTCGCCGTCACACAGCCTTCCCTCCCCACCCCACTTTCCTAGCCCAATTAAACCCACTGGAACCGCACTCAACCGCACTCGACTCAGCTCACCGCTAGCAAATGCCTGAGTGGTCGCAAGGGCCCCTTGGCCGTGGTCGAGGGCCCCCAGCTGCTCCGCCAACACACCAGCTCGCCGTCACACGGCCTTCCTTCCCTAATCCACCCTACACCCCCACTCAAAGCCTAATCAACGCCCTCAACCGCTCTAAAGACCTCACATACCGCTAGCAAGTGCCTGAGTGGTCGCACAGGCCCCTTGGCCGTGGTGGAGGGCCCCCAGCTGCTCCGCCGCCACACCAGCTCGCCGTCACACGTGGCGTCAATCCGCGTGTCGCCCATGGCCACTGCCACGTGCCACATGTTGGGCGGCATCTGCACCACGCGGAACGTCCCCTTTGACACGTCAGCGCCGCCGCGGCCACCCGCGGTGGGGGCGGCGTAGACAGTCTTGTCTCCCATGACCACCTCGGACGCCCAGATGCTGACGTGGCCGGAAATCACGGAGCCCTGCTGCGCCATGTGCGAGTTGTAGCCGCCCGACGCTGCTATGTACTTCTTTAGAACGTCCCTCGTGGTGCGTTGGTTCTGGAGTGAGGGAGAATGGAGCATCGGAGTGGTGAGAGAGAAAGCGAGGAAATGGGTGAGTGAGACGCAAAGGGAGTTGCAGGGAGGAGGGGCGAGTTGTAGCCGCCCGACGCTGCTATGTACTTCTTTAGAACGTCCCTCGTGGTGCGTTGATTCTGGGAGGGGGGAGGGGTACAGGTGAAGGGAGCATGGGAGGGGTGAGAGAGACGCAAAGTGGGGGGCGAACTGTAGCCGCCCGACGCTGCTATGTTCTTCTTTAACACGTCCCTCGTGGTGCGTTGGTTCTGGGAGCACGGGAGACGGTGTGAGAGACGCAGGGAGGAGATGGGTGAGTGAGAGGCAGATGGAAGGGAGAGTTGTAGCCGACCAACAACTCTTTAACACGTCCCTCGTCGCGCGTTGATTCTGGGAGGAAGCACGGGAGGAGACGGGAACATGGGAGGAGACGGGAACACGGGAGGAGAAAGGAGCACTAGAGGTGAGACACAGGGAGGAGATGGGTGGGGGAAACGCCAAGGGAGTTGCGGGGAGGAGAGGGCTAGTTGCAGCCGCCGACTGCTGCTATGTGCCTCTTCCACGCGTCCCTCGCGTTGCGTTGATTCTGGAAGCGAGCACAGGAGGAGACGGGTGCACGGGAGGGGTGAGAGACACAGGGAGGAGATGGGTGACGAAACGGGCGTTGCAGGGAGGATGGGCGAGTTGCAGCCGCCGAATGCTGCTATGCACCTCTTCCACACGTCCCTCTTGCTGCGCTGGCTCTGAGAACGAACACGGGTATGTTGAGTTTACTTTTGAGAATTCTCAGAAGTAAACTCAACACAGCCGCCGAGTGCTGAAATGCGCCTCTTCCACACGTCCCTCTTGGTGCGCTGGCTCTGAGAACGAACACGGAGAGGTCGCGGGGAAGAGAGAGCAAGCGAGCGGTGAGGGCGACAGGAGTGCGACGGGTGAGGAGACGCCAAGGCAAAGGCGAGTTGGTTTCGGCGCGAGGACGGGGTGAGACAGACCCGACGGGAGGAGCGCGAGAGGCGGGAAGGGAGGAGTGAAGGACGCGAAGGGAGGAGCGAGGGAGACGCGAAGGGAGGGATGAGACGCGAAGGGAGGGGCGGTTGCGGATAAGGGAGTCACGAAGGCCAAGGAGAGAGAAATGGGAGGAAGGAAAAGGCCAAGGGTGTTGGACGAAGCGACGGGAGGAACGGCGTTGCTAGGAGCAATGTGAGGGTATGGCTTGCAGAGTGGTAATGTCCGTTTGGGGAGTAATATTGAAGCAATGCGAACATAAGAACGACAGGAGGGACCAAGAGGGCCGCATTTAAGATATAAGTTTCAATGTGCGCGTAGGACGACAGAACGGGTATATCAAACGGAAAAATAAGAAAATGTACCACGGTTTTTTGGCGCCTCAAAAAGCGGTGCACTAAGCGTAGAAACATGTCTTAGAATTCTCCGAAAATACGAAAAATACGAACCCTTCTCGCGATCGCGCGTCACAGCTTAGCCTCCACCGACATTTCAGTCCGTTTGAAGTTTTTCTAAACGACGCGATCTGCGCATTGCGACATGCCTAGCCATCTCGCCATTTAGCGAGCGATGCGGTTGTCGTTTTTCTCTTTTCATTTTACAATGCGGACAGCCGCGCGGCAAAAAAAGCGCGGGGAAACGACACAGCGACCCGCAGGAGGTGGAAACGGTAATAAATAACGTTCTCGCTAATGAACCACCTCCTTACTAGCTCAAAGACAGTATTCATGGACAAGGGCGACTCGCAATGTGCGATCAGCAGCGAAATGCAGCGATACTGTCAGCTTCGGTAACTCTCGCCATTCCCGTCGCAACTCTCCAGGATCGGTGTACCTGCGTTAGTTCGGGAGTCGTCGGTCGAGGCAGACTTATTTGCTTCGGAACCGAAGCTAACGGCGTCGCGGCGGCCTGCAAGACAAACTTAATCTCCGCGTCTCGCGCTTTCGCCTCCTCCTCTTTAGACTTCCCCGACTTCGCTCCAAACAGCTTCTTAAGACTAAACGAGTGTTTCGCAGCATCCTCGTGCTTCGCGGACGAGTCCGGCGGGTACCCCTCTAGTAACGGCCCTAAAACGGTTGTGCATGTTGTGAAAACCTTAGACTCTTTCGGTGTGGAGCTGTCTGATTGCCAGCCTGACTCGCTGGGGCGATTGTTGAGATGAGCGAAGCCGAGCAGTCCATCGGACATTCTCGCCGCATCTGACGGCGTCGCTCGCCGTGCACGCCGTCGCTAACTACGCCTGCTATGTGCGGTTTACTACTAGACCAGCGCTCCTAGGGATAGTACTAGGAAAAGGTGTCGTGGAACCCTAATTAGGTATGGTAGGAGATCGTGCACGAAACGAAATGGAGGATGGGTGAGAGGTGAGTGACTAGTGGTAGTGTAGGAAATGTTTTCGCCAGCCCTTTCAAACGGATATGAGTGTGTTTCGCCAAGGCTAGTAGCGAAACTTTAGAGCAACTTGCAGAAATCGTCAACTTTAGCCGCGAGCGCTGAAGGACACAGTTCCTTCGCATACGTCGTCAGTATACCATATTCCTTTTTCGCCTCTTTTTTCGTCAGGCGCGGTTCACCTTCGCCGGGCTTCGGCCTGCGTTGAACGTGAGCCAACCAGCCCAGGTCAAATGGAGCGGAACCACCTGCCGCCAGGGTGTGTCCTATGGTGTCACTTTTCTCAGTCACGTTTTCACCTACGACTCGGCGGAACGATCTGAAATTGCACAATCCAGGTTGAGAGATCAAAAGTGTACAGAAAGAAAAATAGAAATGTCAAACATTTACAGTAAGACAGCTATAACAAAAGTCGTGATTGATACCCATGTAGGGTAGAATTGGATGATACGTGTTTCAAATCAAAATGGGGGTTCTACATGCAAAACGTCACAAACTGGCAAACGCGCTAGCCAGGAAGAATTGAGTAGGTACAATGGCTAGTTAAATGCATACACGTGTCACACGTAAAAGTACTTGGCCTCGAGGTCGCCTCTCTCTAAGGTGCCCCTACAGACTCTACAAGCTATACGGGCCTGCATCATCCCTCTTAGCCCTACGGGCCCTGGTTAGACAGCTCGCTCTTAACAGTGCTCCAGAACCTGGCCTTGAGCTCGTCTGCCACAGCACCATGCTTCCCCATTGGTTACCGCATCAGCTCCCATGAATCCTACGAGCCTGCATTATCCTTAGAAGCCATAGGTGCCTATATTAGCCCTGCGTGCCCCGCTCATACAGCTCACTCTTCACAGCGCTCCAGAACCTGGCCTTGAGCTCGTCTGCCCGAGCCGTCTGGTTGGCCTGAAGTTCCCGCAACTCTGCCTGCTGCGCTTCCAGCTGCCGCTCTGCCTCTGCCAATGCCTCTTTCTCCTTGTCGTCCCCCAATAGTGCCTGGAGAAGAGGGGCAAGAACGGGTGAGGTGAGGCAAACAAAAGAGTTTTTTGAGGCGCCTCGTAAGGCCCGAATAGGCAAGAGAAGGAAGGGTCGCAAGTAGATCAGCCTGCTGCGCTTCCAGCTGCCGCTCTACCTCCGCCGGTGCCTCCCCCTCCTTGTCGTCTCCCAGCAGTGCCTGAATACGAGGAGCAAGAACGAGTGGAAAAAGGGGGAAGGGTCACAATCAACAAGAAGTGATATGTCAGCCTGCTGCGCTTCCAGCTGCTGCTCTGCCTCTGCCAGTTCCTCCCCCTCCTTATCATCCCCCAGTAATGCCTGAACAAGAGAAGGGCGAGTGGGCAAGATTAGTGCTAAGGAGAGAGAGAACGATGGATGGAGGGAAAGAAAGGAAAGCTGAGGGAAAGAGGAGCAAGCAGAGGAGGAGGACATGCGTATCCAACCAAGAATGAATCAATGAACAGAGGTTCATGCACAATCATACATACACACACCCATCCCATCCATCCATTCACCCCCTCTCCCCGTCCCCCCGCCCTAACACAGCCCCCAACGTGGCCCCCCTCACTACACACACCGAATCCCAGCATTACCCCCTTTTTCTGCACCCACACACACCTCCAACGTACCTCGTAGCTCACTCTGACTTTTGCCTCCTGCACTGCGTTGTCCTTCTCTGCCCTCTCTGCCACTCCACATACACACAGAACCCCAACGGTGCCCTCGTTGCCCTCCAAACCCCCTCACACACACCTCCAACATACCTCGTAGCTCGCCCTGATCTTTACCTCCTGCACTACCTTGTCCCGCTCTGCCTTCTCTGCCACTCCACATACACATAACCCCAACATGCCCCCGACGTCCCCCAGACCTTCCCACACACACCATCCCCAACGTACCTCATAGCTCGCTCTGATCCTTGCCTCCTGCACTGCCTTGTCCTTCTCTGCCCTCTCTGCCACTCCCCGCGCCTCCTTCGCCGCCCTCTCAAGGCTCTCCGCCCTCGCCACCTGCACAGATGAAAGGCACAACACAACATAGGACAGCACAGCACGGCACGGCACGGCACGGCACGGCACGGCACGGAGCAACATTGGAGCATGAGACACACGGGTTCAAGGTTCCATAAGAACTACCTCCGTGCCCCCCTGCCCGCCCCCTCAAGGCTCTCCGACCTTGCCACCTGCACAGGGGAAAGGCACGACACAACATAGTAGTATGAGACACACAGATTCAAGGTTCCATAAGAACCATCTCTGCGCCTCCCTGCCCGCCCTGTCAAGACTCTCAGCCCTCGCCACCTGCACGATGCAACGCACATCACAACATGACATCACACATGACATCACACATGACATCACAACATGAAATCACAACATGACATCACAACATGACATCACAACATGACATCACAACATGACATCACAACATGACATCACAACATGACATCACAACATGACATCACAACATGACATCACAACATGACATCACAACATGACATCACAACATGACATCACAACATGACATCACAACATGACATCACAACATGACATCACAACATGACATCACAACATGACATCACAACATGACATCACAACATGACATCACAACATGACATCACAACATGACATCACAACATGACATCACAACATGACATCACAACATGACATCACAACATGACATCACAACATGACATCACAACATGACATCACAACATGACATCACAACATGACATCACAACATGACATCACAACATGACATCACAACATGACATCACAACATGACATCACAACATGACATCACAACATGACATCACAACATGACATCACAACATGACATCACAACATGACATCACAACATGACATCACAACATGACATCACAACATGACATCACAACATGACATCACAACATGACATCAAACATGGCATCACAACATGACATCACAACATGACATCACAACATGACATCACAACATGACATCACAACATGACATCACAACATGACATCACAACATGACATCACAACATGACATCACAACATGACATCACAACATGACATCACAACATGACATCACAACATGACATCACAACATGACATCACAACATGACATCACAACATGACATCACAACATGACATCACAACATGACATCACAACATGACATCACAACATGACATCACAACATGACATCACAACATGACATCACAACATGACATCACAACATGACATCACAACATGACATCACAACATGACATCACAACATGACATCACAACATGACATCACAACATGACATCACAACATGACATCACAACATGACATCACAACATGACATCACAACATGACATCACAACATGACATCACAACATGACATCACAACATGACATCACAACATGACATCACAACATGACATCACAACATGACATCACAACATGACATCACAACATGACATCACAACATGACATCACAACATGACATCACAACATGACATCACAACATGACATCACAACATGACATCACAACATGACATCACAACATGACATCACAACATGACATCACAACATGACATCACAACATGACATCACAACATGACATCACAACATGACATCACAACATGACATCACAACATGACATCACAACATGACATCACAACATGACATCACAACATGACATCACAACATGACATCACAACATGACATCACAACATGACATCACAACATGACATCACAACATGACATCACAACATGACATCACAACATGACATCACAACATGACATCACAACATGACATCACAACATGACATCACAACATGACATCACAACATGACATCACAACATGACATCACAACATGACATCACAACATGACATCACAACATGACATCACAACATGACATCACAACATGACATCACAACATGACATCACAACATGACATCACAACATGACATCACAACATGACATCACAACATGACATCACAACATGACATCACAACACACCAGTTCCTCACGTGCTGCTGTGCTTCCAGTCTGACTCAAAGCACAAAATCAGACCACCTGCATGCCACTCATCAGGACTCAAATCTACCAGCCTGCACTGCATCCTCCATCTCCCTCACCCGCTCACCCCTCTCCTCCTCCACCCATGCATATACACACACGTACCAGGGCAAGCAGCACACACACTCTCTAGACATACCAGCAGCACACACACACTCTTAAGGCACCTGCATGCGCATACCACTTGCTACTCGCACGTACCAGCTCCTGCACAGCATCCTCCATCTCCCTCAGCCGCTCATCCCGCTCCTCCTCCATCCGCCGCGCCTCCCTCCTCCGCCTCTCCACCTTCCCCCGCATGTCCCTCACAGCCCGTGCACTCTCCTGCACCGCCCTCCTCTGCGCCTCCTCTCTCGCCTGCAGTGCATGCCGCACCACCACCTCCATCATTCTCTCATCCATCGCTGTCACCATCCCCCCCAGCCCCATCATCCCAGGGCTACTGAGAGTAGACCCGCCAAGGCTAGAGCCTGTGGGAGCAGGCCCTCCCACACCAGGCATCACAGCAATCCCCACCCCTCCACCCCCCCCAGCACCGACCGCACCCCCCCCACCTGCCTGGGTCATCGCAGCAGCAGGGCGCTTCACACCCCGTGGCCCAGCAGCAGCATCAGCCGCCCCTGTGCCCCCTGCGCTCTGGTTCCCCACCTCCAGAACCGTTAGGCCCTTCTCTCCCTGACCTGTGTCGCTCTGCTGCTGCTGGTCGTCTAGATGCCAGGCAGGCGGCACAGCAGGAGCAGCAGCTGTCCCCTTGCCCCCTGCACTCCGCTCTGCCACCCCAGCCCCCCCACCTGCACCGCTAGAGGGTTGCTGCTGGTCGTCTAGACGCCAGGCAGGAGGCACAGCAGGAGCAGCGGACGGCGTCACTGGCGCTCCAGCAGGCGAAATTGGGGCTCTTAAAGACCCACCAGGTGCTGCTGTTGGTGAAGTGGCTGGTTGCTTTGGAGCAGCTGCTGCTGCAGGTGCAGCTGCAGGCTGCTTTGGTGCGGCTCCTGTTGCTGGAGACACAGCAGCAGCAGGGGCGGACTCACCCGGCCTTGCGCCGCCGTTCCCTGCTGCGGCTGCCACTCGCTGCTGCTTTTCCTCTGCCTGCTGCTTTGCAGCGGCTTGGACACCAGAACCGCCAGCCATCTCGATACCCTGTATCCCTTCAGCTTCAGCTTCAAACAATTCTGCCTCTTCCTCTGCTTCTGCCTCTTCCTCTGCTTCTTCCTCTTCCTCTGCTTCTTCCTCTTCCTCTGCCACACCTGCACTCAATTCTTCCTCCGCCTCTGCCTCACCTGCACCCGCGTCCTCCTCGACCCTCTCCACACCCACCTGCTGCACCTGCAGCTGTACCCTTGTCTCTGTGACAGTAACCACCTGCTGCTCTTCAGACACAGGCACTGTCTCAGTGTGCGTGCGTGTCGCCACCACCCTCACTGCCCGCTTTCCCTCCCCTGCTGCTGCTCCTCCCTCACCTGCTGCCCCTCCTCCCTCTGTGACTGTCACCACCTGCTGCTCTTCAGACACAGGCACTGTCCCTGTGTGAGTGCGTGTCGCCACCACCCTCACTGCCTTCCTTCCCTCTCCTGCTGTTTTCCCTCCCTCCTCACCCTCTCTACCTCTCCGCTCTGAAATCTCCAGCTCGCCTAACCTCTCGTTTCCGCCTCTTCCCCCTCTCTCTTTTCCCTCCCTGCCTCTTCCCTTCACCCTTTCTGTCCAACCCCTCTTCACTCGCCTTGTTACTTTCCCTGTTGCTGCTGTCCCTGCTACAGTTGGAGCAGATCGCGCCTCGACTTGCCGCACCTGTACTTGCCGAGCCTCAGCTTGCCGAGCCTCGGATTGCCGAGCCTCGACTCGCCGAGCCTCCGCCTCTTCTGCAGCTATCGCCTCCCTCAACAGCCCCTGAATCTCCTCCTGCACCGCCTCCCCTCCCCCTTCCTCACCCCCTCCCTCAAATCCCACCTCTTCTTCCTCCTCTCGTCCACCCACCTCCTCTCCCCCGTCCCCTTCTTCCTCCTCCTCTAGCGTTTCACTCTCCGCCTGCCTCTCCGCCACAAGCGCGCCCTGCTCCGCCGGGGGGAAATCTTCCAGCCTCAGTCCGCGCAGCAGGCTCCGCTCCGCCCCGCCGCTTTCCGCCCCGCCTCGTTGCGCCCCGCCTCGTTCCGCTCCGCCTCTGCCCTTCGCTGCGCCCTTGAGCTCCTCTACGCGCCCTACGCGTCCTTCCGCCTTCGCCTTACCCGCGCGCCCTCGTCGCCCCGGTTTCCCCGCCCCGCGCGCCCCTCTTGCCAGTCCGGTCCCCCTCACACCACCCCCTCCGTCGGCCGCTCTCTCCTCTTCTCCGCGACTTCCTTGCGCCTGCGCCGCCGCACGACCTTTCCTTCCGCCACGCGCCCTCCGTGCGTGACTCGATCTGTCTACGCTTCGCTCTTCCCCCTCCCCGCTCTTCGCAACCCCTGGCTTCGCGAATCCTCCACCGCTCTCCACCGATCCTTCACCTCTCTCAACCGACGCGGCAGCTAAATCCTTTCCCTTCCTCGTCCCGCCTTCGCGATACTTTTCGTTAGAAAGGCTTCTTCTCGGGTTGCGCCTGACTCCTGCGGCGATCGTTCCCTGCGGCGAGCTCGCAAAATCACGAACCATCTCTACACGCAGTGAGGCAAGAGCGAGCTTTCAACCATCACTGCACGCACTGCGTGAGGCTGGCATCCTGAGGCTGTGTGACGAAACCCTCAACGGATTTTTCCTGGTCTCTCCACTGCAGGACCCTTGCGGCACCCGTGCCGCACCCCCGCGGACTGCGGCACGAACGAGGTTGCTTCTCCTGCGTCCATCGTCCAGCTCGCAGCGACGCGACGCGACGCCACGGCGTGACGTCGCCGCGCCGCTCTCACATCCCCGCCAGCTGCGATTGCGTGCCGCGGAGCTAAATTCGCTTGCATGCGAGAATGCGGGGAGGTCGCGAGGTAAGGGCGGCTAGACAGCCGAGGCTGCAGCTTTGGTTCCCGAGTTATTTCGACACGTGGCAGCTCCAGCTTGCATGTGATGGGAAGTACGCGTTTTTGTCAGATGTCAATTCACTCAGACATCAAAGTGACTTGGTTGCAGAATACTAGAATCTGTATACACACGATAATGGGCTACTATAAAAACAATGCCTTCACATTGCGCCTCACATGAACAATGAAGTCACAAGATATTCAGAAGCAAAGAACGCATCATCAACCAATAATCATAGTTAGCCTCTCCTAGAAAGTAGCAACTGGCAACACCATGCCAGCAGTATCCAGCAGAAAGGCATCTCATTTGTGCTCCTCCTCTTGGCCAGTCAAATCAAAACCGAGGAAGCACACCAGCATACGGTACGGTAGGCCGACATTTCTGCCACACCACTTATTCCCCACACGCTGTACTCCAAACGTTGGGTGTGAGCCAAAAACCTTCTACCTGTGATCATCCCATCCCATCCTCTACCACATCAAAACCCCCACACACCTATCTGCAAAATTGTGCAACCATGACCTCACAACCAACCCACCAACCAGCTCCGGCCATCTCACCATCCAATCCCCAGCCATTCTACCAACCAAATCCCAGCCATCGTATCCCACCCAATCCACCCATGGCCCACTGCATCACAAGGAACCCGTTGAGCCCTACGATGACCAGGGTCGGCAGGCTTGCCAGAAGCGTGCTCTCACCCATTCACAAACTTGCCCATCCCACCCTAACCACCAGTGGCCACACAGCCAACCCACCAATTTAGCCCCAGCCATCCCTTTCCTCCCAACCTAACCACCCATGGCCCACTGCACCACCAGGAACCCATTAAGCCCTATGATGACCAGCGTCAGGAGAATCGCGAGAATCGTGCTCACCCACCCGTTCACAAACTTCCCCATGCGAGCAGGGGACGACGTGAAGTGCACCAGAGGCGCAATGGCAAACGGCAGCTGGAGCGACAGAATCACCTGGCTCAGCACCAGAAGCTTCCCGGCGCCTTCCATGCCGCTGATAGCCGCCACAACAACAGCAGGAACGATCGCGATGCAGCGGGTCACCATGCGTCGCAGCCATGGCGGCAGCTTCACATCCACAAACCCCTCCATTACAATTTGTCCCGCAAGCGTTCCCGTAATGGTGGAATTTTGCCCGCTGGCTAATAAAGCAATTCCGAAGAGGATCCGCGCGGCGGTGTCGCCGATGGCGGGCGCAAGCAGGTGATACGCGTCGCTGATATCCGCGACCGTCTGCTGGCCCGACGCGTTGTAGTAGAACGCGGCGGCCGCGAGGATCAGAATGGCCGCGTTCACGAAAAACGCGACGAACAGCGACAGGCACGAGTCCCACGTGCCGTAACGCACGGCCATGCGCTTGCCCTCCGCGGTGCGGCCGTAATTGCGCGTTTGGATGATGCTGGAGTGGAGGTACAGGTTGTGCGGCATGACCGTTGCTCCCAGGATACCCACCGCCGCGTATAGCACGTCAGGGTTTGTGAAAATCTGGCCTGATGGAACGAACCCTTTCAGGACCAGGACCCAGTCGGGACGGACCGCGATTAACTCGTACGTCATGCACGCGGCGATCACAGCGCAGAGGATGAAGATTAGGAGCTCCAGCACGCGCGCGCTGCGGCCGCCGAGGAAGATTATAAGGAGGCAATCAGCTCCCGTTATAAGGATGCCTATCCATAAGGGTAGGCCGAAGAGAAGGTACAATGCGGTCGCGGATCCGATAACTTCCGCGAGGTCCGTCGCGGCGATGGCGATTTCGGCAAGGATCCAGAGGACAAGATTCGCGTAGCGCGGATACGCGTCGCGACAGGCCTGCGCGAGGTCCCTTTCGCCGACGACGCCGAGCTTTAAAGACAGGCTCTGGAGGAACATGGCGCAGATGGACGACATGAGCACGACGAATAGCAGCGTGTATCCGAACGCCGACCCTCCCGCAATGTCCGTGGCCCAGTTTCCCGGGTCCATGTATCCGACGCTGACGACGAATCCCAAGCCGGTGAACGCGAAGAGCTTGTAGTACCAGGCCGACTCGGGAGGCGGCACGTAAACGGATGAGTGTAGGTCGTCGAGCGACTTGTTGTGCGGCACGCGACGCCAACCGGCCAGGAGACGCTGCTTCTCCTCCACTTCCGCTACAGTACCTTCCGCTGCAGCCTCGGAGACCGACGAACGTCTGCTGCCGCCATCCTCGGGTAGATTGGGCAAATCGGCTAGATCCCTCGCTGGAGAATTGTCTCCCGTGTCGGAGGAGATTTCCAACAGCGATCCGCGACTGGCTTGTCCCGGGGACTCAGAGCTGTGAACCACGTTACGAGCGGGTGACGAAGCAGCGAGTTCGCGATCGCCGTGTGAATCGGCGACGGCTGTTTCGGGATCCGGTCCATCGCTGCTCCGTCCGTGGTGTCTCCCGAATGCTTTTTGGACGGAGACTAATGCGGAAGTAGACGGATTCGTAAACCAACCCATCTTGGCCTAGAACCAAAGAATAGAAAAACTAAGACGGATAGTCGATGAAAGAATTGCGAATACGAGGTCCCTAGCCCGCTGAATGCGCGTAAAGGAATGAGAGGCTCGAAAAATTGAAGGATGCCTTTCTTGCTTGTGGTTGTGAGAGCTCCATCTCAGCCCCCGCCTGACGAGGAAGGAACCAAGCTGCCCTTCCAGGCTTGTCAGAACCCTGCCGAATCAAAAGCCTTCGAACCAGGCTGAAACGAACCAAAACGTGCTCTACTCCGCTTCCCCAGATTCCCAATCTGCTCCGTTTCTTGGGGTTGGTGGTGCGATGTTGCTGGTGCTGCTTCGTCAGTCTCGAGAAATCCAGAGAGGTAAGGAAGGAGAGACGTTGGCCGTTGGATCTTTCGCCAAATCTGTCCATCGGGTCGTTCTTATCCCCCGGAAAGCGTTGGCGCCTCCCCCTGTGATGCGACACTTTGCTACATCGCTCTTTTCGGGCAAGGACAAATCGCGAAATGTCGCGCACGGGTAACTTCGCGTTGCGTGTCCAGGTTATTCGACAAGTGCAGCAAGTCTGTACCCAAGCCGTTTGCCGAGCCTCGTCTCTGTTCAAAGCCGTCCAGGTCAAGTCTGGGGCCGGCATATCGACGGCTCGCTGGGAAACCTAGTCCGAACCAGAAATGAGGGGCCTCTGCTCAGCCGCCAGCTAGGTCAGGCAGGACATCAGATAAGTACAGAATCTCGAGGAAACCGGATCGTCTTCCGTGATTGGTGCATTCCCTGAAGCCCCACCCCTCTCAGATACCACCTCCAAGTCTGGTAGCCGCAGCGGCGCTGAACACGGAAATCTACAACCAAACTGCTTTAGTATGTACAGTGTTTACATGCTTTCAAAATGGAGAGCTGCCCCTCTTATGATAAAGAAATGTACTTATGGATGCACACGCATCACTTTTCCATTCCATCCACAAACGTACACTTGTGGTCATCGTACCTCCAACCACTAGGGGATGCACAAACATCAGCTGCCAATCTCCTCTCTTCCAGCTACTCGCATTCTGCCGGCATATCTTGCTGCAACCCAAGGCGCCAACTCAGTCACATCCGGTTGCCTCGGGTTCGACCGATAATAATTGGACCAATGGCTCTGCAGCAAACTCTCCTTGAGCCCTCCTGTGGACGAATCGTACAGCAGAAACGGCAACCAGGGGTCATCTGAGCTCTGCTTCACACTGCCATTGCCACTGCCGCTGCTGCTGCTGGCGGTGCCGTTGCTGCTGCTTTCACTGCTGCTAATTCTAGCAGCCTGTCGTCTCCGCTCTCTCTCCCGGGGGTAGCACAGAGGGGCCTGCAAGTACCTGGACATTAGCACACATGACGATGGAATTTGACGCGTCTTAGAAGGGGAGGACGAGGACAGGTCTTCACAGTCACTGAAAGCACAGAGGAGACTGCACAATTTGGGTTGCATGGTCGCTCAGTTGCACTCCCTGCATGCCGCCATGCCACCCACCTGACACCATAGACACACGAGTCCCAGTGGAAGTGCGTGTGCCCCAGGACAGCCTTTACACCCACTTAAGATCCCATCGCATAGACCCTGCACATGGGTTGCTTGCTTGCACGCCCGCATGCCCCCATCCCACCCACCTGATGCCATCGACCCACGAGTCCCAGTGGAAGTGCGTGTGCCCGAACACGTGGCACGCTGTGGGGCTGCCACGTGGACCGTGCACGGACCGCACGCGCGCCTCCAGCCAATGGGAGCCCGCCATCTTGGCGAGATTCGGATACAGCAGCATGCGCTTCTCGGGAAGAAGATCGATCCTGAGAGGGTGAGAGGGGCGTACCGAGGGAGGAGGGGGGGGAGGGGGGGCAGGGTGGGGTGGAGGGGAGAAAGGGGAAAAAGAAATAGCTCTAGAGATTCGGATACAGTAGCATGCGCTTCTCGGGAAGCTGATCGATCCTGAGGGGATTGGGAGGTAGCAAAAGGGGAGGGTAAGGCAGGGGTGAAGGAGAGAAAGGAAGGAAGGAAACAGATCTAAAGATTCGGATACAGCGGCATGCGTATGGATCCCCTCGGGGAGCAGATCGTTCCTGAGTGGATTGGGAGACACGTAGGGAAGAGGAGGGGGAGGGGTGGGGAGGAGAAAGAGAGGGGTAGAGGGGAAGCAGAAGGCCTGGAGGTTCAAAAACCACGTGCGCTTCTTGGGGAGCAGATTGATTCGGAGGGATCAGGAGGATGGCCGAGGAAGAAACAGCTCCCAAACCCCTGGAGCTCTCGTCCGTTTGCCTCCCTGCCCCCCCCTCCCTCTCAGCTCAGGGGTTTGGGTGGTGCACAGGGAGGGAGGGGAAGGGGCAGGGTGGCGAACGTGCGAGAGCGGGAGGCGAGGAAACAGCTATAGCGACTGGGCACAGCAGCATGAGCTTCTTGAGGAATATATAGGGTCTTATGGGGATTGGGAGGTGCATATGGGAGGAAGGAACGGAGACAGGTGGATGGAAGGAAGAAACCAAGGCGAGAAAGCAGCTCTGGAGGCCTGGGCAATGCAGCATCAAGTAAAGACACACACGCATCGAGTCACACACGTGCACACCTGGGAAGGAAGTGAGAAAAGGAGATGATTTGAACACCCTCTGTGCTGCCCCCTGCACTGCCCTCCACACCACTTCCCCCTTCACCACCCAGGGGCACAGTGGCACTGTTCTCATGTGCACGGGGCGAGCCAGGAGCGGATGCGCGCGTGACGCTGCTGGCAAGGCTGCTGTGTGTGGTGCTGTTGTTGTGAACTGCAACCTGGGAGCCGCTGCTGCTGTTGTCAGTGCAAGCGTTGCTTCCAAAGCTGGCAGCAGTGGCAGTGGAAGCGGCAGAAGTGCTGGTAGCGGTGGCAGCAGCATCAGCAGGAACAGCCACCTGCTGCTGCTGCTGTTCTGCCTTCTTCTGCTGCCGAGATGCCACCACCAGAGAGGGAAACACGTGAGGGTGCTGTGCTGCGAGCTGCTGCAGAGGCCTCTCGTTCATGCTGTCGAAATGAGCTGCCAACGCATCTCCTCCGTCCCCCAAAGCACGAGAGACTGAGGAGGAGTGTGGCGCGGTGAGGTGTGGTGAGGAGGAGGAGGAGGCGGCGGAAGGTGAGTGAGGAGGGGAGTGAGAGGGAGTGAGGTGGGGCGGCCAGACACACACTCGGTAGTCCATGCAGGCCTGCAGGGGAGCAGCGGGATTGGGATTGCACAGAGGTGAAACGAGGTGAACAGAGGTGAACAGAGGTGAACAAAGGTGAACAGAGGTGAACAGAGGTGAACAGAGGTGAACAGAGGTGAGCAGAGGTGAGCAGAGGTGAACAGAGGTGAACAGAGGTGAGCAGAGGTGAACAGAGGTGAACAGAGGTGAGCAGAGGTGAACAGAGGCAAACATAGGCGTCGGGATTGAAGAGTGGAGAGCAGGGGAAGGGGACGCAGAGATGCACGTCGCATGGGTCGCCCACCTTACGCAGGGATGGCAGTCGGAGGTTCGGAATGTCAGGCTCGGTGTCGAAGCTCTACACAGGTGAGGAGACAGAAGAGCACATGCGAGGGAGAACGCATGAGGGAGCACGCGTGGGGGAGCATGCGTGAGGGGAGCAGAGAGAAGAGCATGTAGTGTAAGCAGTGGGTGGGAGCAGAGAGCAGGTGCAGTCACATACATATGCCTTGTCTATCCAGGAGCATGCCCTGTTTACCTGGTGGTGCCAAGACCAGAGCGGAACAATCCAAATGCTGCCGACCCGCATGGGCTCCGTGCGCACGCCCCACCGCTCACAGCACTGTAGCACCTTTGTCAGCTTGTGCAGGGAGGTGAACGGCTCATCAGGCTCGGGGGAGGGAGGCACGGAGGAAGCAGGCATGGAGCCAGGCAACTCGCCTCCTCTGCTCCCTGTGTTGCGTTGGTTATGGTGGTCGTCGTTACTGTGCTGATGGTGCTGGTTGTTGTGCTGGGTTTGCTGGCTGTGCTGGGTGCGGTGGCTATGATGGTTATGCTGGTTATGCTGCTTATGGTGGGTGTGGTGGTCGTGGTGGCGGCACCAAAGCTCGTGGTTACCAGGAGTGAAGAACACGTGGTGGAATGATGATGTCAGCAGCTGGAAGGTGCACGAGAGGACCTGCGAGGCACAGCAGCGAGCAGAAGCAGCAGGGGCATATGAATGGAGAGATAGATGCAGGCGAGTGGTTTAGAGGGAGCGCCAGACAAGTAGACAAGAGAGTGGCTGACTCGAGGAGATTACAGAATACTGTTTCGCCAATAGATAATCCACCAAAAAATTGCACCTGGGGACTCACCTGATAATTCATTTGACGACTCACCTGATAATTTTCCTCACGAGTCAGTTGATGACTCGCAAGAGAACCCCCGCAACTGGTTCTCCACCTGAGAATTAACATGATAACCACCTGACGACCCACCTGATGACCCACCTGACGACCCACCTGACCTCGAGATTGTCCGTAACGTCGCCTGCCAGTATGAGTACGTCTCTCCCCTTCCTGGAACCTTCCGAGCTATGACGTGTCGCTGCCAGCCGTTCTACCCACTCCATGTTCTCCGCGTGATCCGTGTGAATGTCTGACACAACGTAGACACGTGTCACCTCTTCTTTCTTGCCACGTGGCGAAAGATCTTGCTCGTCCGTTTCGCTCATGCTGCCAGCGGTTCTAGAAGCGGAGGTCCTCGTCAAGAGCAGATTCGATAACGGTTTCCGGCCAGGCCGACCCCTGAAAGTGTACGATAAGCGCGAAACGAGGCTAAATCGTCGGATTTGTGAATTGGAGGAAGATCGAACCTCCAAGTTGCGAAGGCTTTGAGTTACCGCTCTCCGCCGATTAAACTCGCAACTTGAGCTCACTGCGCCGGCGAGTGTGCGCCGAGAGAGAGGATCAACGGACAGAAGCGAGCTTTCAAATTCACTCGTAAGAATTCTCAAAAGCAGAGAGCTCACAGGCGAGAAACTTAACGTCCTGCTGAAACTTAAACAAACTGGACTCAAGCTACTGAATTCCGCTGACAGTGCCGGTGAACGTTCAGCCACGAAACCTCTGGAAGGACGGTTGCCGCGAGCTCTCGACCCGCCGAGGCAATAGCGGTGGAGAACGTAAGGGTTTCGGACACGTGTCAGAATCCTGGCAGCGCATGGCAAGGAAATCGACGGTGACGAGTCCACGTATGAGCCAGGTCGGAAGGCGCAAGAATTGGCGAGCATTAGAGGAGCGAGGTCGGGAATGCTACGAGTGCTGAGGAGTGCGTTCGAGGTTGGGAAAGGAGAATGATGGCGATGCTGTGCGGCATGCGCGGAGGTATTTAGGATGTGTCGTACGAATCAACGTTATGAACGAGGTATTTCGATTCCGCAAGCGGTTCGTTAGTGGCCTACATCCATACTCGACATGGTAACTTCGATACTCGTAGCCCATGAATAGGGCCAACTCTAAAAACCTTTACGCAATCAGTTTCTCGTACCACCAGTATATTCTTACAAAGAGCATTTCCATTCAAGGTAAGTGTACAAAAATATTCAAGTGCAGCAACTCCAACACAGATACACGAGAATCAAGCTAATAGGCCAAATATGACTCAGATGGTAACGGCTTTAGTGGCTCAATTTGGCGTGGAGTGGAACGGAACCAGGTAGGCAGCAAGCCAAGCATCAGAAACAGACCGACAAACAAAACAGGCAAGGGACAACAGACATGGCCAAGACGGCAAGGATAGACGACATCAAGGCGGGCTTTGCGGTATAGGTACAGTACAGTGTTTCCAGGGTATGCAATGCATCTTGCGCAAGGGAGACTGAGCAAGATAGCCCAAACGGAAGGTGGAACGGAAGTGCTGCAGATGAATGATGGGGAGGTGTGAAAACTAGATGGTTTAAAAGGCAAGGTTGTGGAGACTGAGGCAAGCTGAACAGTCTGGTACTGTGCTGTGCTGTGCTGCACAGTTCAGTGCGGTGCTGCACGGTTCAGTGCGGTGCTGCACACCCACCCACTACCCAAATACCGTACGCCGTTGAAGCCATACAGCGGGACAACCATACGCCCTTTGATACATCTCCGATCAAAAGCGTCCAAAGGGTGAAGCAGTGCCGCGCAGCACACAAGCAGGCTAAAGTCTGGATGGGTGACGCATGGGCATGTCCAAACCCCCTTACCTCCTCCTCTCTCCTCCCTCCTCCTCCCCATGCTTTATATCTCAAATCCCAGCAAATAATCAAAATGTCTCTGTTAGGGCCAGTCCAATGGGCTCAGAACCCCCCGCGGGCTTCCCTTGGTGTGTCGGGTACTTGCACAAAGGGGTGCTGCAGTAGCTGCTCAGGGGAAGGAGGGGCGGGAAGGGAAATGAGGGTTGGGGCGAAGTGGGGCACACGGTGTGTGATATGGTGAATGAGGGAGGGAGGGAGGGAGGGAGGGAGGGAGGGAGGGAGGGAGGGAGGGAGGGAGGGAGGGAGGGAGGGAGGGAGGGAGGGAGGGAGGGAGGGAGGGAGGGAGGGAGGGAGGGAGGGAGGGAGGGAGGGAAGGAGGGAGGGAGGGAGGGAGGGCGGGCGGGAGGGAGGACGGGGGCGCTGTGCCGGGTCGAGCTTGAATCAAGCGGTGCGGAGGTTTCGGCCCTCCCGTTCAAGCTTGTACTGATGTGCGATGCAGCACACCCTCTCCCACCCACACCAGACACACCCACACTCACCCAGCCACACACCCACCCACCTCAGTAGCGGAGGGGCGCTCCCCCGGGTCAAGCTTGAAGCAGGCAGCGAGGAAGTCCTTGCCCTCGTCGCTGCACTTCCTGGGATGGGCGGCACACACCCACACACACCTATAACCCTACACTAACCTACAGGCACTACATATCACCCACACGCCCACTCACCTCAGTAGCGGAGGGGCGCTCCCCCGGGTCAAGCTTGAAGCAGGCAGCGAGGAAGTCCTTGCCCTCGTCGCTGCACTTCCTGGGATGGGCGGCACACACCCACACACACCTATAACCCTACACTAACCTACAGGCACTACATATCACCCACACGCCCACTCACCTCAGTAGCGGAGGGGCGCTCCCCAGGGTCAAGCTTGAAGCAGGCAGCGAGGAAGTCCTTGCCCTCGTCGCTGCACTTCCTGGGATGGGCGGCACACACCCACACACACCTATAACCCTACACTAACCTACAGGCACTACATATCACCCACACGCCCACTCACCTCAGTAGCGGAGGGGCGCTCCCCAGGGTCAAGCTTGAAGCAGGCAGCGAGGAAGTCCTTGCCCTCGTCGCTGCACTTCCTGGGATGGGCGGCACACACCCACACACACCTATAACCCTACACTAACCTACAGGCACTACATATCACCCACACGCCCACTCACCTCAGTAGCGGAGGGGCGCTCCCCAGGGTCGAGCTTGAAGCAGGCGGCCAGGAAGTCCTTGCCCTCGTCGCTGCACTCCTCTGGGATGGGCGGGCCTGTGGTGGTCTTGGCGATGTGGAATATGGCGGACCATGTGTTGTCCATGTTGGGCCATGGGTGGCTGGGGAGTGGGCGAGGGGTTGGGAGGGGAGGGTGGTAGGTGATAAGGAGTGTGGAGCAGAGAGCAGGGTCAAGTGGTGGTCTTGGCGATGTGGACTATGGCCGACCATGTGTTGTCCATGTTGGGCCATGGGTGGCTGGATGGGAGGGGATGGAGGTGAGAGGGGAGAGGAGGGCAACGGGGGACATGATGAGGGGGGGAAGTGGGAGGGATGGGCGGGCCCGTGGTGGTCTTGGCGATGTGGAATATGGCCGACCATGTGTTGTCCATGTTGGGCCATGGGTGGCTGGGGGGGGTGGGTGGAGGGAAAGAGTGAAGGGATAAGTGGGGTTGGTGAGAGAGGGAGGGGGAGGATGACGACAAGAGCAGGGAGCAGGGTCAAGTGGTGGACATGGCGATGTGGCAAGGAGAGGACCACGTGTTGTCCGTGTTCGGCCATGGGTGGCTGGAGGGAAGGGAGGGAAGGGGGGGAAGGGGGGTTGGGAATGAGTGATGGGGAACAAGGGTAGATTGGGTGAGAAAGAGCACGGCAAAGACCCCAAACCGTCACTGTAATCCCTAAACTCTAAACCTAAGCTACTACTCACCTGCCAGTGAGCATCTCAATAACGGTGCACCCAAGGCTCCAGATGTCAGCACGGCGGCCGTACCCCTCCCCCTTGATGACCTCTGGCGCCATCCAGAACACAGACCCTCGGATCGACTTGCACCCCTCGCCCACCGTGCCCTCGTGGAATGCCTGGGGGGAAAGGGGTGGTGGTGGTTCAGGGAAAGACGGAGAGGGGGGCAAAAAGGGGCGGAGGGGAAATAGGTGGGCAGGAGTAGGAAGGGGGGGTGGCGGCCGTACCCCTCCCCTTTGATCACCTCTGGCGGGCGCCATCCAGAACACCGACCCTCGGATGCTCTTGCACCCCTCCCCCACCGTGCCCTCGTGAAACGCCTGGGGGAGGGTAAGGGGAGGAGGAGAGGGGAGGGAGGGAGAGGAAGAGAAGGGTAGGCGGAGAGAGGGAAGAAAAGAGGACGGGAGGAAAGGGAGGGGAGGGGAGGGGAGGGGAGGGGAGGGGAGGGGAGGGGAGGGGAGGGGAGGGGAGGGGAGGGGAGGGGAGGGGAGGGGAGGGGAGGGGAGGGGAAGTAAGTGGGCAGGAGTAGGTAGGGACTTCGGAAGTGCCCCTCCCCCTTGATGACCTCAAGTGCCATCCAGAACACCGACCCGCGTATGGTCTTGCACCCCTCGCCCACTGTGCCCTCGTGAAACGCCTGAGAAGCATGAAGAAGCATCAATCTGGAGGGACAGAAAGAGGGAGGGGAATTAAAGAGAGGTATAGGGGAGAGGTAGGGGCAAGATGAGGGAGATGGGGACGGAACGGAAGGAGGGAGAGTGGAACGGGTGAGGGGAGGGGAGCTGCTGGCTGACTGACTGACTGGCCCTGAACTCCCCTTCCCTCACTCGTCCCACTCTCCCTTCTGTTCTCTCCTCCTCTCCCTCATCTTGCCCCTCCCTTTCCTCTATACCTCTCCTTAATTCCACTCCCTCTTCCTCTCCCTCCAGATTGATGGACCAGCACGTTGCCGCCCTTGATGTCGCGGTGGATGATCTTGCACTCCTGCAGATACTCCAACCCCAGCAGCAGCACACACCATCCCATCCCACTCGCCCCACCCACCACTCGTCCCACCTCCTATTCATCAGCATGTTCTTCCTGAATACTCCTGCCCGCTCTGACTACCCTCAGCGTCTCACCTTGGAAGCCCCAAAGTCAGCGAGCTTGATAACCCCGTCGCGGTCGACCAGCACGTTGCCGCCCTTGATGTCCCGATGGATGATCTTGCAGCCGTGCAGATACTCCAACCCCAGCAGCAGCTGGCGAGTGTACACCCGCACGAGGGATTCACTGAACTTGCCAAACTTGTCCAACATGCTGTTGGGGAGGGGAGGGGGTAGCAGGTGCAGTAAGGAAATTGGAGAGAGAGAAAGAGATGATCTTGCATACTCCAGTCCAAGCAGCACCTGCCTCGCCTCGTGTACACTCGCACCAGTGACTCACTGAACTTGCCGAACTTGTCCAACATGCTGTGAGATTTGCAGACAGTGGGTGAGACGGGCAGACAAAGAAGCAGGGGTCGCAGGGAGAGGGGTGGACGGGAGAGGCAGAGCGAAGGGTAAAGAGGGGGAGAGAGAGAGACAGTGCGAGGCAAGAGGGTACAACATTCGAGTGAGATCTTGCAGCTGTGCAAATACTCCAGCCCCAGCAGCAGCTTCCTTGTGTACACGCGCACCAGGGACTCGCTGAACTTGCCAAACCTGTCCAGCATGCTGTTTGGGGGGAGGGGGGGAAGGACGGAAGAGTGACGGGGACGAAAGAGGGGAGCAGAGGAAGAGAGGCAGAGAGAGGCAGAAAGAGAGCAGAGAGAGATGAAGAGAAGTGGAGAGAGGCAGAACTCGAACCATCACTCCCCTCCCCCGTACATGTGAATGGACTCTCCTTCCCCTCCCCTCCCCACCCCCTTTCCCCCTCTCCCTCCCCCTCAACCTCACCTGTGGACCCGCCTCTCCTTCCCACTTTCCCCTTTCTTCCCCCACTCCCCCTCCTCTCTCCCCTTCCCCTCTCCCTCCGATCCCACTCCTCGCCTGCGAATCGACCCTCCAGAGATGAATTCCAGGCAAATATACAGCGACCCGTCGCTTTCGTCCTTCTCCATGTCGATGTATGCCACGATGTGCCGGTGCCGCATCTGCCCATAAAGCACAATCTCCTGCTCCAACGCCCACCCACACTCAACCTCTCCTCTCTCCCCCCTCCCCTCCCCGCTTTCCCCCCTTCCCTCCCTTCCCCACCAGCCCTCCCTCCTCCCCTCCCCCTCTTCCCCCTCCCAACCCTCCCCTGAATCGCACCTGTGAATAGACCCTCCCGAGATGAACTCGAGGAAGATGTAGAGCGACCCGTCGCTTTCATCCTTCTCCATGTCAATATACGCCACGATGTGTCGGTGCCGCATCTGCCGGTACAGCACTATCTCCTGCTCCAACGCCGCTATGTGCATCGCCTTCTCGTCGCCCGCTGACGTCATCTTGATCTGCTTCACCGCCATTAATTCTCCAGTCATTTCATTCAGACCCAGGAAGACCTGTAGGGGTGCAGTAGGGTGAGGAGGGTTGGAGAAGGGTTGGAGAAGGGTGGACAGGAGTGGGGTGCCTGTCATCTCGTTCAGACCGAAAAAAGAACTGCGTTGTCTGAGTGAGGTGGAGTCAAGTGGGGTGGAGTGCGGTGGACGGAGTGAGGTGGGTGCTCTTAAGCGCAGCACCCTCACGTTCACTGGCAGGCCATCAATGCGCCTCTCTCACACACGCACCTTACCATACGCCCCCTCGCCCAGCAGCTCGCCCCGCTTCCATTTCATCGTGCCCAGGGGAGCCATCGCCTCCCCATCCATCACCTCTCCTTCCCCCCACACAATGACACGCACAATGACACGCACAATGACACGCACAATGACATGCACAATGACATGCACAATGACGCTGAGAATGACACATACCTTGCCATAAGCCCCTTCGCCCAGCAGCTCGCCCCGTTTCCACTTCATCGTGCCCAGGGGAGCCATCGCCTCCCCATCCATCAGCTCCTTCCCCCCCGCTGCTGCTGCTGCCGGTGACGCCTTCTCTTCTCCCCCATCCTTCTTCCCCCGTCCTTCTTCTCCCCTTCTTTCTTCTCCCCTTCCTTCTTCCCCTCCCCTCCGTCCTTCTTCTCCCCGTCCCCTGCTTTCTTCCCACCACCAGCAGCATCATCCCGGTTATTAGGGTTGGTGGGGCAGTCACACTGCAACTCCCCACACGCCACACACCCGCCCCTGGCTGCAGCATCCCTCCAATCCGGCCGAATGAGTTTCAGATCTTCCTCAGATACCTGCTCAGGTGAGGGCGTGCTTGCTCCCGCACTGCCACTGCCACCGCCACTGCCACTGCTGCTGCTGCTGCTACCGGCACTAGCGCTCGCACCAGCATTAGCATTAGCACTGGCACTGCCTGTTGCTGCGCCTGCTGCTGCACGTCTGTTACTAGGCGACACAGGCACCTGCCCCCCTGCCTTCTTCTCCTCCTCCTTCCCACCGCCGCCCTTCCTCTCCTCCCCTCCACTCTCCCCCTCCTTCTCCTTCTTCTCCCCCTCCCCCTCCGTCGGCAGTGCAAACTTCACCGATTTCCTCTCCCTTGCCCCTTTAGGTGTCATCCGCCCGCTCCCCCCTCCCCCTCCCCCTCCACGCCCTTCCTCATGCCCACTCCCCCCTCTAAGCGGGCTCCTAGGCCGCCCTCCACTCCCCCCGCTCCCCCTCCCCCTGCTCCCCCTGTTCCCCCTCCCCCTGCTCCCCCTCCCCCGCTAGGAGTGAGTGGTTTCTTCTGAGCAGCGCCCCCCTCGTCCTCAAACCCTGCCGGCTCCCCCACCCGCAGAGAGGCAGGTCGCCTGGCAGAGTCGCTTCCAGAGGGGGACCGAGACGGGGCCATCGACCCTGCGCCGCCAGCACTAGCAGCAGCAGCTCCTGCTGCTCCCCCCGCAGCACCTGCCTGAGTCGCTGCAGCTGTTGCTGCTCCTCTGTTTGGTAGGCGCCTGCCTGAGTCGCTGTCGCTGTCCCCGTGCTTCCCGCCCTCCCCATCCCGATCCTCTGCTGCCGCAGCAGAAGCAGCGGACGCAGCAGACGCAGCGGATGCAGGCGCAGGCGCAGCAACACGAGGCAACCTCCCGCTGTGCCCCTCCGCCCCCCCCGCCCCTCCCCCTCCTCCCTCCAGCATCGCAGCACCATTCCACGACGCATACATGTTCTCCCTCCCCCCGCGCCCGCCGCCCCCGCCCACATGCTGCCGCCTCTCCCCCCCCATCCCCGCGCCGCCCCTTGCAACCCCGCCCTCCTCCCTCTCATCATCCGAACTCGCCCTCCCGCCAGCACCCGCCACATCCCCTGCGCGCCCCCCTCTCCCCCCATACGGGTTCCCAAACACATCGACCACGCCTCTCGCCCCTCCCCCAGACGATTTCCCGTCCAAAGACCCCCGCCTGCTTCCCCCACCCCCCCCCAGGTCAAGCCTCCCCATGCTAGCCGAATCCACACTGTCATAGGGGGACCTTCCCCGCATGCCCCCTCTCCCTGGCGTCCCAGGTCCGCCGCCCCCAGGTCCGCCTCCCCCAGCTCCCCCTGCTCCGCCCGCCCCTCCCCCTCCGCCTGCTGCTGCCTGCCCTACGAGGCGCTCTGCACGGAAATCAGCAAAGTTGCGCGGGCGGGGCTGGGCAGCCAGACGCGACCGGTCTGATGTGATGGCCGCGCCTGCTGTATTGGGGGTGGGGGGAGTGGGGTGGGGGAGGGTTTGTTTGGTCAGGGCTGGAGCTAGGGCGCAGAATGCAAAAGGCACAGTTGCGCGGGCGGGGCTGGGCAGCCAGACGAGAGTAGTCTGCTGTGATGGCTGCGCCTGCTGCACTGGGGGTGGAGGGGAAAGGGAAGGGGGGAAGGGGAGGGGAAGGGGGGAAGGGGAGGGGAAGGGGGGAAGGGGAGGGGAAGGGGAGAAGGGGAGGGGAAGGGTCAGTTCAGGCCGCCTGCTGCTGCTGCTGCTGCCTGCCCCACGTGGCGCTCCGCACGGAAATCAGCGAAGTTGCGCGGGCGGGGTTGAGCAGCCAGACGTGAGCGGTCTGCTGTGATGGCCGCGCCTGCTGGATTGAAGGTTGGTGCGGGATTAGGAGGAGGGGGTGGGGAGTGGGAGCAAGTGGTTTGATCAAGGGCAAGGGTGTGGAAGGCAGCAGGCGAGGCAGAAGAAAGAGGGAGAGAGAGAGAACGGCAGAGAGAGCAGGGGAGACGAGGAAACATAGAACGAAGAAGCATAGGAAAGAGGAACGAAAGCAGAGAGCACAGAGAAGCAGAGAGAGCAGAGAAATCAGAGAGCAGAAGAGCAACAGGGGAAGCAGAGAGGCAGCAGGGGGTACAGACAGGCAGCTCACCTGCAGTGTGCCGGCGGGTGCCAAAGCTGCCAGCCTCGGCATCGGAGAGGCTGCTGTCATTAGCCTGCACGATGCGCCGCGCGTACTGCTGCCCACCCGACTCCACCGACAGCGTCCGCGAGTCCCGGATGTGCCTCCGTGCCAACGACGCCGCCGGTCCCGCCGCCGCCACCGCTCCCGCCGCTCCTCCTCCTCCTCCTGCCCCTCCCGGCCCCATATGCTCGTCCTTCCCCGCACCGCCACCACCCCCTCCTGCTCCTCCTCCCCCGCCCCCTCCCCCTGCTGCTCCCCTGGCCCCGGCCAGGCAAAGGCCGGTGAGTCGTCATCCCGATCATTCTCCCACGCCTGGAGGAAAATCTGCTCGTTGCTGTCCAACAAATCGCGCGGGCTCTCCACGTCAGCATGGTCCCCATCCCCACCTCCTCCCCCTCCCCCGCCACCTCCCCCTCCGCCTCCCCTCGCCCGAGCATGAGGCTGGGACAGCCAGTCGTCCTCTCGGGCGCTCCCCCGCTCCACAGCGGACCTGCTGCCTGCGCCGCTTCGCCCCGCTGCCGGCCCCTGGCGCCCGGGCGGCTGCTGCGCGCTGCCCCCCCCGCCGCCCAGACGCGTGCGGGCGGCGAGGGCGCGCGGGGAGATGAGCTGCTGGACTGACGACCCGTTGGGGACTGGAGGGGGGGGGGACAGGGGGGGGACAGGCGGGCAGGGGGACGGGCGGGAGGGGCGGGAGCAGGAGAGAGGGCAGTAGGGTTAGGTTGGTCAGGGGGGATAAGGGGCAGGTGGGGCAGGTAGGGCAAGGGGGTACGGGAGAGGGCAGAAGGGACAGGGGAAGCAGCGGAGCAGGGGAACAAGAGGAGAGGCAGAAGGGATGGAAAACCGGGGGGACAAGGGAAAGAGCAGAGGGGGCAGGAACACATGGGGGCAGTGGGGCAGGGGGGAAGAGGGGAAGAGCGGACAGGGATGGCAGGGGGGCAGGGGGGCAGGGGGTGCAGGGGGTGCAGGGGTGACAAGAGGGACAGCGAGGGCAGGGAGAAGGAATGAACAAGTTGTGTAAGCAGATACAACAAGGCGGCAGTCAGCTGGCCTTTGGGTGAGAAGAAGCGAGTGGAGCAAGGGGAGGGCTGGAATAGGAAGGAAGTAAGAGCAGCGCAGAGAACGGGGACTGTACCCTCATTCACACATCACCCCAACCAAACACCCCGGTTGCCCCACCAACAAACTCCCATCAACCACACTCCCCCCCCATCACCCACACACGCTCACCATCATCCCACCCATCATCCGACATCCTGCCCACATCCCTGGGGCTCATCCTTCCCAACATCCCACCAAGATACACTCCCCCATCCACCCATCACCCCACCCACACATCCCATCAATCACCCCATCCACACACATTCATCACCACAATTGCTCACCTTCGTCATCCCAGCCGTCATCCACCATCCCGCCCACATCCCTGGGACTCATCCGTCCGGACGTCCCAGGGGAGATCGGCGGCGACCCTCTCAGCCCCCTTCCCCCTCCCCCGCCCCCCGCGCCTCCCCCGCCCGCGCCCGCGCCCTCCCCCTCCCCCACGAGTCCGTGGCGCTGGTGGTACTCGTGCAACTTGCGGAAGAGCGTGCGGATGCGGTCGGTCGAAGCGAGTTGCTGCGGGTAGAGGCCGTCCCTGTTGCGCGCATACATGTTGGCGCCTGCTACCAGCAGCAGCTTGATTATGCCCCTGGGGAAAGGACGGGGTGGGGAAGGAATACAGGGGGAAAAACAGGGGCAGTGGCTCTGATAATGCCTCTGGGGGAGGGTTGAAAGAGACAGGGAGGGAGGAGAAGAGGGCCCGTGGCGCTGGTGGTACTCGTGCAGCTTGCGGAAGAGCGTGCGGATGCGGTCAGTGGACGCAAGCTGCTGCGGGTACAAACCATCGCGGTTCCGCGCATACATGTTGGCGCCTGCTACTAGCAAAAGCTTGATTATCCCCCTGGAGGAGGGGGGAGGGGGCGGGGGAAGAGGGGCAGGGGGCGGCAGTGGGCAAGGGGCGGGGAGGGAAGAGGAGCAGTGGCGCTGAATATGCCTCTGGGGGAGAGGGGGAAGGGGGAAGGGGGAAGAGGGGACAGGGAGAGACGAGGGTCCCTGGCGCTGGTGGTACTCGTGCAGCTTGCGGAAGAGCGTGCGGATGCGGTCCGTCGAGGCCAGTTGCTGCGGGTACAGACCATCGCAGTTGCGCGCGTACATGTTGGCGCCTGCTACCAGCAGTAGCTTGATTATTCCCCTGGGGGGTTGATGGTGGGGGAGAGGTGGGGAGAGGGTGTGGAAGGGAGGGGCGGGAAGGGAAGCGGAGCAGTGGCGCTGATTATTCCTCTGATGGAGTGGAACAGGGGCACAGGGAAGAAGAGGGGCCGTGGCGCTGGTGGTACTCGTGCAGCTTGCGGAAGAGCGTGCGGATGCGGTCAGTGGACGCGAGCTGCTGCGGGTACAGACCATCGCGGTTCCGCGCATACATGTTGGCGCCTGCTACTAGCAAAAGCTTGATTATCCCCCTGGAGGAGGGGGGAGGGGGCGGGGGAAGAGGGGCAGGGGGCGGCAGTGGGCAAGGGGCGGGGAGGGAAGAGGAGCAGTGGCGCTGAATATGCCTCTGGGGGAGGGGGGGAAGGGGGAAGGGGGAAGAGGGGACAGGGAGAGACGAGGGTCCCTGGCGCTGGTGGTACTCGTGCAGCTTGCGGAAGAGCGTGCGGATGCGATCTGTTGAGGCCAGCTGCTGCGGGTAGAGACCAAACCTGTTGCGCGCATACATGTTGGCGCCTGCTACCAGCAGCAGCTTGATTATGCCCCTGGTGGAGGGGGAAGGGGGCACCCGCAACGCACCATCACCACACCCACAACGCACCTCTGACCCACCAGCAACACACCTGTGCCTCCACTCATGACTGTACCTGTGCTCGGCAGCGCAGGCGTAGTGCCACGAGCCTCACACCACGAGCCTCACACCACACTCCTAACACACCTGTGCCTGTGCCCAGCATTACCATACCTGTGCCCAGCAGCGCAGGCGTAGTGAAGTGCGGTGTACTGCTTGGCGTCCTGCGCGTTCATGGCTCAGAGGCAATCCAGCTATACACCTGTGCCTCATGATTGTGCCTGTGCCTGTTCATCATGAATGACCGCACCTGTGCCTCTACCCTCAGCGCACCTGTGGCCAGCAGCGCAGGCGTAGTGAAGCGCGGTGTACTGCTTGGCGTCCTGCGCGTTGATGTCCGCCCCGTGCGACAGCAGCAGCGTGACCATCTTGTCATTGCCCGTCTGCACCGCGTACATTATGGGCGGCATCTGTGTGTGGGCGCGTGGGGTTTGAATCGGGGGAAGAGAAGCACGGGAGGGATGGGAGGGGTGGACAGAAGCAGAGAGCAGCAGCAGTCGTTGCCCGTCTGTACCGCTTACATGATGGGCTGCATCTGTGGAGGGGACCGTGTGTGGGGGGGATGGGAAAGGGAGGGGGGTGGGTGGGGAGGCTGTGAGCAGTAGGCAGCAGCGCGACCATCATGTCGTTGCCTGTCTGCACCGCGTACATGATGGGTGGGGTGAGAGGGAAGGGGAAGGGGAAGGGGGAATGAGGCGGATGGGAGGGATAGAGTGAGGCTAGGGAGGAGGGGAGTGGAGGAGGGGGTTGAGGGGCGGACAGCATGAGCAGCAGAGAGGGGAGTGTGCGACAGCAACAGTGCAACCGATTCTCATGCTGCCCTCTCCGTCTCTCTCTCACCTGCGCGGACTGCCCCCCGTCAGGGTCAGCGCCCCACTCTAGGAGAGCCCCCGCCGCCTCCGTGCTGGACGCCACCACCGCCTCGTGGAGAGCCGTGCGCTGCGAGGCTGGTAGGGTGTGGGGGTGGGTAAGGAGGGGTTGGAGGGGATGGAGAGGAGTAAGAGCCCGTCCGTGCTGGACGCCACCACTGCCTCGTGGAGAGCCGTGCGCTGCGAGGCTGGTGGGGTGTGTGTGGGGAGGGAGGGAAGGAGGTGGGGGATAAGGGGGTTCAGAGGGAGAAGAGAGGTAAGAGGAGAAAGAGCCCGTCCGTGCTGGACACCACCACCGCCTCGTGGAGAGCCGTGCGCTGCGAGGCTGCTCGGTAGAGGAGGGGGGTGGGATGTGGGGGTAAAAAGGGTGAGACTCCATGCTGAGAAGGTGAAGGGAAGCAGCAGTGTAAGAGCGCGTCTGTGATGCATACCGCATCACCACCGCATAGTGCAGCGCTGTGCACTGGGGGGAAAGAAAAGGAGGCTGCTTGGGGGGGAAGAAAAGGAGGGTAAGATGGGGTTGGAGAGGGTTTGAGGGGGTTTGAGGTGAGGGCAGCAGTGACAGAGGGGTTCCCATGCACACCGTCTCTTGCAAGCAAGCACGTGCAGTGACCAGCTTCTACAGGGGGGAATAGGGGAGGAAAACGAGAGGGGTTGGGTGGTTGAGGGATGGGACGGAGGAGGAGGAGGGGGGTGGTTGTGAAAAAGTCGCCTTGAGCAGTGGTGTGTGTGCATCAATGTGTGCTGAGTGGTCTCTGCCACGGAATAACAGTTACCTAACGAACAAAGATTTACCTGGACAGCCACAGATATATATACCTGGACGGGTTCTACCTGGATAGACGGTGTTGAGTAAGGCAGTGCGGGACGGCGCCTCCTGCAGGACCACGTTGACCAGGTCAACGTCGTTCTCCCGCACCGCCTCCATCAGCTCCGCCACCCGCCGCATGTGCTCCGCCTCCCCCCGCGACGCCTGGAAGCTTCCCCCGATGCCTCCGCCCCCGGGCCCCCCGCCTGGTCCCCCTGCGCGGGCAGCGGCGCTGCTAGGCTGCGCGGAGGGCGTGGCGACCTTTACCATGCGGCGGGGGCTCAGCGAGTCCTGGCGCACACACAGGCGACGGGCGCAGGGCGGAGAAGATCGGCGGAAGGGAGAGGGGACGGGCGCACGGAGGAGGGATTAGGCAGACGGGTGAGAACGCACGACGGAGGGAATAAGCGGAGGTGGAGGTTCATGAGGGTAGGGCGTTGCACATAGGCGCATGGAAGAGCGAGTACGAGAAATTGGAGGAAATACGCGGAGGGAGGAGGATAGGAGGAGAGTGTGAAGGAAACGGGAGGCGGAAAGGGGGAGGGGGAACATGGCGAGGGGAGAGGGCTGACGAAGGAGAGCAAGAGAGATTGCATGTGGGAGCAACATAACAGACGCTAGGGTTGCACCAGCGGATCGCGGAATAGAGCGCCACGAGCCATGAAAAGCGGCATAAAATTAGGGTTCGCGCAATCACAATTGGCCGACCAAGAGAGAAGAGCAGAGCTGTGTCAAATCGACTTTTGGATGGTCTGGAAAATCATCTTATTTTAAAGAGAAATGCAGCAGGACCGTGTTGTAAGCTAATGGATGCTGGGTGTACTATCGAATCACACGCCGCGGCTGCAATGGCGAAAGGCACACAACCATGCGACTTTAAAGTCCGAGATGAAGGAACGCACAACCATGGGCGAAAGATCACGAGAAGGGTTAGGGGAAATGGGCGCGAAGAGAGGAGGGATAAAGAAACGAAAGCGATTTTTGAGGCACCCCAAACAAATCAGCCAGGACAGAAAACCCATGATGGGCAGGTGATAGGGAAAGCCGTACGACAAGCGAAAGGCAAGAAGACGGACACCTGTAAGCGGGCGTAGCGTTTGATACCAACAGTGACTTTAATCCAAAAAAAAAAAGGAAAAAAGAAATCATACTAATTTCCGGACAACCTAATTGCATGAGAAGGCCAAGGCATACAAACAGCGGTAACAATAAACGGAAGTAAAAGCAGAAGCAGAAGCAGGAACCCGAAAATACCAGCAGCAACGCCAACTGACCGATCTACCCGGCCGCCTTATGCATATCGACGTCAAGCACGGGCCTTTCTACGAGCGCCAGCGACTAACCTTCCTGCCGGCCTTAATCATGTCGGCGTCCAGGCGAAGCGCGGCCGGCCGGCCGTACCCCGCCTCGTTGGAGCTCGCCGCCCGCCGCGGCTGAAGGTCCCCCGCGTGCTCCGCGCGGCCTCCCCGCTCCCCCGACTCCCCCGAGTGGCTCTCCGACCGCCCATGAATGGCATTGCGCAGCGGAGATGTGTTTCCGTGATATCCGCCGCCTCCCCCGCCGGAGGGGATCGTTATTCTTCTCTGGCCGCCGCCTCGGTTGTCTGCGAAGTCGTCGCCTTCTGTAAGCTGATGGCCTTCTTGCACCGTGCGAATCGGCGTGCGACCAGCTGGCCGTCGCACATGGTCGCCCGCTCGACTGGGAGCGACTCCAGCGTTAGTCGGGGAAATCAAATCCTCCGGGTATTGGATTCCGCGAGGAGCGGCCACGTAAGCAGGACCGCGGTTTCGCGGAAAGTGGCGTTGCGGACTTAGGTCTCCGTCAGTTACGACTCGAGACATCGCGGCTCGATTATAACTTAACCCTAAAATGCTACTGCTCTAGCCTCCGGCATCCTAAATATTGCAGCACAACCGCGACTAAGTATCAATTCGCTTCAGTCGTACGATAACACTTGCGCCTTCGATAAATATTACTCGCCAGCTAAGCAATAACTAACGTCAGGCGCGAACGGACGCATACTTCCATAACAACCGGGCCGACACTATTCCACACAACTGACAAACAGAAAACATAAAGACACTCAACGCCTTATCCAATCATAATGGCAGCTCCACGTGCAAATCTCGGAAGTAAGTGCGTGGATGGGGTTCCGTTGTAGGTAAAAGGCCCGAAGTTGTGGTTGAGGTGGGACCGTGGGTGCAGGCATGGAGGCATGGAGGAGGAACAGGAGGATGGCGAGAAGTCCAACCTTGGGAGTGTGTGGTTGCGGGAGAGCCCAAGGTCAGTAGCGAAACCGACGAAGCATCAGGTGACGATAGGTCATGCTCGGAAAGAAAACGGGCAGGTTGTTAGATAGTGTTTGCGTGAGTCGGGTTACTAGGGCGTGTTGGAGTATGTATCGCTAAGGTCTAGGTGGAAAACAATCAGGTTTTGGAGAGAGTGTTTCAGCATGTGATTCCGAATTGAAATTTGTTTAGTAAACCTGAAGATGAAGGCTGCGAGGTGCCCGTCGAGTTTTGAGAACTTCCCACGACCCATATGGGCAAATGTATTTCACTTGGGAACACTCTTCGAAGCAGTAAGGCAGCAAGGGAAATTGACATGTTATATAAACACCGCAACGTACTTGAGCGCATCGCACCGTCTTCAACCTTGGGGAAAAGCACATCGGGAGAAATGCTGTTTGAACAGACATTCTTCAGGGGTTCAATTCGGTACAAGAAAAAGTTAAGTTCAAGCTTACACTATGTCACATGTGCAATGTAACGAGCTAGTTAAAATTGCATGGGTCAAAGTAAACTTAATAGCATGAGCAAGGACATGATCGAACACTAGAGGGCGAACATATTTTTTTTCAGCTACATGACATGAGAATTTCGTGCATTTTGTTAGAAGAACTCAAAACCCTGAACTATATAAAAACAGCTTCATTGTGGTTTTCGTGTAGCCTACCGAACCTGCAGCTGTGCTCCTCCAAACCTAAGCTATCTTGCCTTGACTTACGTTCGGTAGATTTCGAACGTGGGCCTCTTCGTTGACTTTGGTTCGGTTACGAAACCAGGCGCTATGTCAATAGATTACACACGATGCCCGACCATGTCAAATGTTGTAGCCTATAGTGAGGTTTGTCTTAGGGGGTACAAAACTTAGGGTTAGCTATATGTACCCCAACCAACATCAATGCATCATCCATTCTTCATTCTGACATGGTATCAGTTAGGTTAGGATCCTGTGGGATCCCGTTCCGCCGTTCTCCGTTCGTACCACCCGAGCCTGATCCTAGCTCTCGTTCGTCTCCTTCTCGTTGTTACCGAGCCTAGCGCCGAGCCACGCTCTCGTTCGTATCGTTCCAGCTGTTACCGAGCCTAGCAACGACCCACGCTCTCGTTCGTATCGTTCCAGCTGTTACCGCCCCCCCGTCGCGTCGCCTTCCCCCCCCTCGAGACGCGCCCGTCCCTTTCCCCCTGTCGCGTCGCGCTCCCCCCGTCGCGTCGCGTCCGCTCCTTCCCCCCGTCGCGTCTCCTTCCCCCTGTCCCGTCGCGCCCCCCCCTTTCCCCCCGTCGCGTCGCCCTCCCCCTGTCCCGTCGCGCCCGCCCCTTCCCCCCGTCGCGTCGCCCTCCCCCTGTTCCGTCGCACCCGCCCCTTTCCCCCCGTCGCGTCGCCCTCCCCCTGTCCCGTCGCTCCCGCCCTCTCCCCTCGTCGCGTCGCCCATCCCGCAGCGCCCGCCACTGTCGCTCGCGACCGCGCTCGTCGCCGCCGCGCCTGCCGCCGTCGCCCGCCCCCTGCGCACGTCGCCGCGGCCCCGCCGTCGTCGCCCGCCGCTGCGCGCGTCGCCGCTGCGCCCCCTGCCGTCGCCCGCTGCGCGCGCTGCTGGCCCCTGCTGCCGAGCGCGCTGCCATCGCCCGCCGCTGCGCCCGTTCCCGTTCCCCGCTGCTTAGTCCCCTGTTACCTCCCGCTGTCACGCCCGCTGTGGCGTCCGCTCCTCCCCTGTCCCAGAGTACCGCCGAACCCTAATTTGCCTCTCACCTACTGCTGTCCCCTCCCTCTCCGTTCGCGTTCGTTTTCACTATGGAGACTCAACGTGTCCTTCGTTTCGACGCTGACGGTAGACCTCTTGATTTTTCCGTCTGGCTTCTTCGTGCTCGCCGTCTGTTAGAGAGTCAGGTCCAGGCAGGCGAGACCCTCTGGGCGCACGCTACTGGTGCCCTACCTGCGCCCCCCGACCCTACGCCTTTAGGACCTGCCCCTGACGACGCCGCTAGAGCCCGCTTTGCCACTCAGCGAGCTGACCAGACGGCTTGGACGTCACGTGACGCTGCGGCCTGCATCGCGCTCAGCAGCCTCCTCCCTGAGTCTGAGGAGGTTCACTTCACTCAGGTTCGCACCGCTGCTGAGTACCTCACTGCGATTAAGGCCCGCTACTCTACTCCCGCTGCTGTCTCTCTTGGCCGCCTGTTCCTCCCGTTCCTGTTTCCTGACCTAGCGTCTTTTGAGCGCTCTGCTGACTTGATCGCTCACCTCCGCTCGCTCGACGCTAGTTACCGCGCTGCTTGCACTGAGGCACAGCTTGCACTGCTTCCTCCCCCTATGGCGATTACTATCTATTTCATCGCCACTAGCCTCCCTGACCGCCTTGCCTCCGTTCGCGACGCGCTTCTGCTGAAGCACCCTAGTGAGCTCACCGTCGAGGTCCTTGAGTCTGCACTCAAGGACGTCGAGAGCAACCTTCGCTCGGTAGCCGCTGCCTCTGGTACTGTTGCCCCCCCACTCTTCCACGGGTGCACAGTCCCGCAGTTACCCACCTTTACTGCCTCACTTGCCACTGCCGCTACTGACGCGACTGCAGCTGCTGTTACGACTGCGTCGCGGTCCCGCGGTAGGAGTGGCAAGAAAGGCGGTTCTGGTGGTGGTAGTGGAGGTGGAGGCGGAGGTAGTGGAGGTGGCGTTGCGCCTGGCGGCGGTGGAGGTTCAGGGCCTGGAGAGGCGCCTCGTGCAGTGACTGGTGACTCCACTGCGCCTGCTGGTGGTGGCGACGCCCGAGTTCGTCAGTCGCCTCCTGTACTTCCTGCCCCGGTTGGTGGAGCAGCGGCGTGGTACCAGGCTCAGCGTCAGCAGCAGCTTCTGCAGCACCAGCAGCCCCTCTCCTCCCAGCAGCCTCAGCAGCAGCAGCGGCAGCAGCTGGCTCCAGGGTCGGGGCTGCGTCAGACCCAGCGCGGTGCTGCTTACACTCCCTGCACCTACCAGGTTCTGACAGGCACTCGTCGTGGCCACCCTTGTGGCCGGTTTCACCCCCCTGGTCAGTGCTTTGCTCAGCTCACTGACACGGTTCGTTTGGTCTACGGGGTTGGTGCTCCTGCCCCTGACTGGCTGCCTCTTGTTCAGCGTTACGGCTCCGCTCTGTGGGGCATGTCTGCTGAGCAGTTAGTTGATCTGATTGGTAGTCCCCATGCTATGTATGCTGTTGTTGACTCTAGTGTTTCTGACTCTGTTTACTCTGGTGTTGTTAGCTTAGGTGCTAGCCTTGCTCAGTTGCCTGTTGCTAGTGTAGGTTCTTGTGTAGACTCTAGTCCAGCGGCTACCTCAGAGGACGGTTCGCTGTCGTTCACGCTGGACTCTGGAGCCTCTCACTGCTTCTTTCGTGACAGCACGACACTTACGCCTCTTCCTGCGCCTGTTTCTGTGGCGCTGGCTGATCCCACTTCGGGACCAGTCACCGCGCGTCACACTACCACCTTGCCATGTCCGGCTGCTCCTTCTGGGTCTCTCACTGGGTTTCACGTCCCCTCGTTCTCCCGGAACTTGGTGGGCGTGCGACCCCTCGTGAGTCAGCACGTGGGTGTGTGGTTTGAGCCTTCTGGAGAGACTGCGGTGTGTGTTGACGGGGACTCTTACCAGCCCCTCGCCACTTTTGCTGCTGAGCCGGGCTCCGGTCTCTACACTCTTCACACTGGCCCGCGCGCTCAGCAGCGACTGCAGCAGCAGCAGCAGCAGCCGCAGCAGCAGCAGCAGCAGCAGCAGCGCCGCCCCTCCTGCCCCCGGCCCCTGTTTTGCCCCCCGTTCGAGTCCTCGCGTCTCACCAGGTTGCTCCGTCCCCCCAGGTAGCTGTGTCTTGTCAGGTTCCTCCGTCTAGTCCGGTCGCTGCGTCGTGCTCCTGTCGGTCGCTTGCCCACCCCACCGTTTTGTGGCACCACCGGCTGGGGCACCCTTCTCCTCCTCGTCTTCGCGCTATGTCTCGTCAGCGTCTTGTCTTAGGTCTCTCGCATGTCTTGCCGTCGCTGCCGCCGTCCCTTGCACCACCGTGCGGTCCTTGCGTCGAGGGTAGGCTGCGCGCCACCCCTCACTCCTCCTCCCTTCGTCCGGCCACCGAGCCTTTTGAGACGCTGCACTTGGACGTCTGGGGCCCCTCTCCTCGCCCTGGCCCTGAGCGTGAGCGTTTCTTTTTGGTGGTCGTTGACGACTACTCCCGCTACACCACAGTGTTCCCCCTGGCGAGGAAGTCTGAGGTGACTTCTACGCTGATCAGGTGGTTGCTTACCACCCAGGACACTCGTGGTCGTCGTGTCAGCTGTCTCCACTCCGACCGCGGGGGCGAGTTTCGCTCCGGCATTCTCGCTGGATTCTGTCGCGAACAGGGCATTCGTCAGTCCTGGACGCTTCCGGAGTCCCCACAGCAGAATGGGGTTGCTGAGCGTCGCATAGGCCTGGTCATGGAGATTGCCCGCACCTCCTTGACTCACGCCCGTGCCCCCCATTTCCTGTGGCCATACGCGGTCAGGTACGCCGCGCACCAGCTGAACCTCTGGCCACGCGTCTCTCGGCCGGAGGCTTCACCGACCAG